CCTCCTCCTCCTCCTCCTCCTCCTCCTCCTCCTCCTCCTCCTCCTCCTCCTCCTCCTCCTCCTCCTCCTCCTCCTCCTCCTCCTCCTCCTCCTCCTCCTCCTCCTCCTCCTCCTCCTCCTCCTCCTCCTCCTCCTCCTCCTCCTCCTCCTCCTCCTCCTCCTCCTCTCTTGCGCATCAGTTGCCCTCTCTACTTCCTCCAGGAATCTTATCTTCCCCATACCTTGTATCTCTCCCAGAGCACTTCAATAGCCCTCTCCTTCCACTCCTCAAACTCTTCCATGTTCGTCGGCACTCCAATCTCCCAGAACAAGTCCATAGGGATCTTGATCCCTTCCAGATAAGAGCTGCAGTTGATCGGAGAGATGAAGATTCCGTATCCGTACATCTTCGGAACCGCTCCTCCCCACGTTGAGATCTCAACAACAAACATCGGCACCATTGCACCCCCCGCGTTCTTCAACAGGCTCCTGAGAGTTTCGTTGGTGACCGACGACACCGTCGGGTGTCTGAAAGACTGTCTGAACAGGATCATCGATTTGTCAGAGGTCGTGTAGTGATTCAGATTCAGCTTCTTCACAACGCTCAACTCGGGGAAGGTCGGAGTCAAAACTTCATGTTTGACATTCTTCAGCACCTGAGACACAACGTTGTTCATCAGCAGACATCCCATGATCGGCAGGTCTTGACGCAACTCATCGAAGTTGAAATCCGCCGGCAGATCGACGATCATAATTTCATCCCCGATCCCACTGAAGTAGCCCTCTGCATGTTTTGTATCCCCATCCTCGTCATCCATCCCGTCCATGTCTGAATCTAGAAGCATTGGCATGTTGCTGTACCTGAACTTCTTGGGCTTCCAGCCATTCACCAGTTCCGTTTCCTCATTGTCAATGAGGAACTTCCTGAAGTCATCAAAGTCCTGCTTCCTCTGTCGGACCCGGTTGATTTCTTTCGCCTTGGAGAGGTTCTTCACATCCTTGCACCAGTCCCATTTCTGAACAGAACTTTTCGTTTTCCTGTCTCTGATCTTCTTCTTGTCTTTCTTGAAAAATTTCATGCAGACAGTCTTCATCCTTTGCCATGACCTGAGAATATTCGCTTTAAGTCCCCCGAAGGAAGTAGGACTCTTCCTCCCCCCTCTCAGGGTAAGAGCTCGAAGTGGAGAGAATGAAGGACATTCTCGGCCCGTACATGACGTTTCATCGGCCACCAGTATCGTCAAGGAAAGAAGCAGAAACAAGAGCGAACTCCTGACCATGACAAGCTCTGAATGCTCATGTGATGGATTTGGCGATGAGCAATTCAGCCATCCCGATGACAGCTTCGGGAAGATTCACGATACCGTCTCGATCGAACCCTCCAGGTCTTGATCTCCTCGTCTCTTCGTCACATCTTCTTCTCCCTTCCAGCTCCTCTGTCCTCTCTCCCCTTACTGCTACGAGTCCCAGCATCACTGTCGTTGCGACCGCTGGTGAGCATGTCTAGACATGATCACGAGCCTGCCTCAGGAAATACACAAGGGGTGGAGGTGGTTACCCCTATGGTTATCTATAGGGTACCTGATAGTAAACAAGGGGGTAATGAAAGCCAATGCCCTCTCTAGGGGTAGGGTGTTGCAAACATTTTGCACCCGCCATGAGGTTCCGATTGGGGCACAGCATGAGCCTCTTGAAGGGCCTGCACCGGCCGCAAGGTGAGCGATGAGGACGAGATGGCGCGGAGAAGAAGCTTGCATGCTCACTGTTGGGACGAGACTGAGGCGTTGGAGCAGGATGGAGACTTTGTAAAGCAAGAGGCTTCCATGATGACTCGTTCGACTTCGAAAAGGTGTTCGAGAAGAACAAGCACTGGGCAAGATCGAAGAGAGGTGAGAGCTGCTTGTGCGATTGTGAGACGTGTCGCAGAATCTTATCCTTCCTCTCACAGCCGCAGACCCCGAATTCTTCGAGAAGCTTGCTCGGGGGCAGAGTCCCTCCATCCTGTGGATCGGATGCTCCGACGCCAGGGTTCCAGCGAATGTCATCATGTGCGGACATGATCTCAACTTCTTCTCCCTGCTATCGCTGATACGAATTATTCTCTCAGTGGGGCTGATAGCGGGACAGTCTTCGTACAGAGAAATATCGCCAACCAGTTTCTCGCCATTGACATCAACGCGCAAGCAGTGCTTCAGGTCGGTAGCAGCAGCTCAGGCTCCCCGTTGACCTCCTGCTGCAGTATGCCATCGAGTTTCTGCAAGTTCCTCACATCGTGGTTTGCGGGCATTACGACTGCGGAGGTGTCAGGGCTGCTCTGAGAAACATGAACCACGGCAGCCCTTTGGAGAACTGGCTGAGAAACATCAGGGATGTTTGGAGGCTTCACTACGACGAGATTGTTCAGTTCCATGGGGAGGCAAGAGTGAGGAGACTCGTGGAGCTCAACGTGGTCGAGCAGTGGTTGTATCTGTGAAAAGCCTGCTCCTTGCCCTCTCTGATGTGTTGTTGCAGCCTGAACGTGTACAAGACAGCTTCAGTGCAGAAGCGACGATGGGAGACTCTGCAGAAGGATGGTAAGATCCTGCCGCAGATCCATGGCCTCGTGTATGACGTTGCCAATGGAGAGCTCAAGAAGCTTCCGGTCAAGCAAACTCTGCTGTTGTCTTGAACACTTGTAACACTTTTCCGGCAGATCGATTTTTCTCAGAGCGATATGCAGAAGCTCCAGAACTGCTTCGACTTGTATGAGTTCGAGGGCGACAACACCCTTCCGGATTAGAACGGTCCGCGTTACAATGAATAAAAGGGTGGAAAACATCAAGATCTGAAAATCAACCTCCACACTTTGGACGGCACTTGAACGATCTGCCATCAACGGATCCTCAGAGCTGGCGGCACAGCAGAGGGCTGGGCTACCTTGACTGCCAGCTGGTGCGACGAAGTTGCTGCTGAAGCGATCCGTGTGCTGACCCCCGTTGGCAAGATCTCATGCGCCTTCGCCCAGACCTCCCGCGGCAGCTGGACTGTAATCCTGCAAGCGCACGGGACCGTCAACATTCCCCGCAACACAGCACAGGACACCATCGCTCTCACCAATGAGCCAACGACATGGGCCAGCGGTAGGGATGTAAAAGTCTGAAAGTTAAATTCACCAGCCTCCTCCCGTGCCTTCCCCTGGGAAACAGGAAGTCCATCGTCCTCCGAGCTCGTACCCTGACCGGCCGAGGAGGATATAGAGGCCCCCCAGGTGATCCCAGCCCGTGTAAGATGCCCTATTGATGCGACGTTACATCTAGACGACGGCAGAAGTCAAAGGTCAAACCTGTAACTTGATTCTCGTTTGCCAATCCAGACAGTTGACAAGCTCTGGCTTCAAAGAGCTTACCCCTTCTACGTATCTGCACAAGGCCTCCTCGATACAGATGCTGTTCAGCTGATGAACGATCTCCATCACCACGATAGAAGCTGGTTCAATGACACACCCCGAGGATCCCTCGTTCAGCCCCATGGAAGAACTTTCATCCTCGTCGCAAGTTCGATGGAACCATTGACTTGAGTGTATCATAGAAATGAACGTCGACAGATCTTGCAGGTGAGATGCTTCACAGCCCGACAGGTCGTAGTAACAAATGAATCGAGATGCAAGCTTCAAGAGATCGGCGTAAACCGCCGTGTCCATGTCTCCGAGGCAGTCCTCTTGGTTTGTGAGCTGTGAAATAAGGAAAACAAACAGAGGACGGTAAAGCTCTGAGAGAGCATTGACGTCTGACCAAAACAAAGAGTTCGCGCCCTTAATCATGACCATCATGGATTTCAAACTGTGCTCTTCAAAGTTGTTCCGGAATAGCCATCGGTGCATCGTTAGTGCGTATGTGCATCTGACTTCCCACACGTCCCAAAGACAAGTGAAGAGCGTCACCAAACTTTTTGTGAATTCCAGTCCATCTTTCTCTTTCACAACAAACATGCTGATTGCCTCGTAGTAGTATCTGCACTCCTCGCCGTATTCTTTGAGCTCCCCAGTATGTCTGACCTCCTCTTCGATTGGGCTGCACACATCCGAGAGAAGATCATTCAAGATCTCCTCCCTCACATCTCCCTCGTCTGTCTCTATCGCTTTGATTAGGATGTCCCTCAACCTCCCCACCACCCGCAACATTCCAGTCGCCATCGTCGCTCCACCTTCACGTGAGGATTCTTCCGTCCTGCTCCTTTGACTCATCACAACCTTCGAGCTTCTCGCCTCATCTTCATCGGATCCTCTTCTTCGCTATCATTATCTTTCAAACGAGCTCCATCACATGCTCTGCTTCTCAATCTCCGCCATGATGCCTCCTACCACCCGTTCCCCTGACACGCCATGGTCTACCCGCACTGCGATCTGCCTCATCCCCGCCCGCATCCGAGATTCCGGGTCCGCCTCAGGGTCGATTTCTGCCAGTGCCCGCCCGGCGGCCTGCCGCACACTTCAAACGCGGGGGCCCCGGCAGGTCATTGGCGGACAGTTCGATCGGACAGTAGTCTGGCACTGCGCGCCGGGCCGCCGGGCCTCCGGCGAGTTCTGGGCACTGGCAGTAGCGATTAACTGGCTTAATTCATTAAATGCTGACTCTATCAAAAATTTCGGACTCGAATCATGGCATCATTGTGTTTCTGAAATGAACCCGGTTCCTACTGACGGTACCCGTTGGGGTTCGCGCTCTGCCATCTCCACCTTGAATATGAGGGAAAGAATCAGAGGTGAGCGACGAGGATGAGCAAAACTCACAAGTCGTTGCACATGTCTTCTAGGTTCTTCTTAGCAACCCACCCAAGCTCTCTCTTTGCCTTCTCGGTGCTTGCACACAACATCGCAACGTCTCCCTCCCTGAGAAAGCTTTGTAAGGGCATATAAGTCGAAGCGCGGAAGAGCACCTGCGCGGGCCAATCTTGTAAGGGATTTCAGCTCCACTCGCTTTCCTCATCGCCTCCACCATCTCAACTACGCTGTAACCTCGGCCTGTGAAAAATACGAGTCACGAGGAGGAAATGGTCTACACGGCCAAGGAGCAAGACTAGTCCGCTGGCTGTACCTGTTCCGAGGTTCACGGTGATCTCCCCCTGTAGTGATGACAACTTCTTGATGGCAGCGATGTGACCTGAAACAGATTCATCTCAGAATCATTCTCTACAGCCTGAAGAACTGCCCACCTTCAGCAAGATCCATGACATGGATGTAATCTCTAACACCCTACAAGCACGCAATGTGAGACGAACATTTAAAAATCTTGTCATCTTACGGTTCCGTCTGGGGTGGGATAATCGTTTCCGTGCACTGTCAGGTACTCGAGCTTGCCGACAGCAACCTGAAGTTCTCGATCAGAATGAATACATAGTGCATAAACCCGCATGTGACCTTGGAAACATATGGCATCAAGTTGTTAGGAATGCCTTGAAAAAAGAACCAATGAGCTATCGCAAAATAATGGGAGATGAATGGTACCTGCAGGGTCCTCGCCGATTCTGCCACTCTCGTGTGCACCAACTGGGTTAAAGTACCGAAGATTGATAGCCTATAGTCGGGCCTGTCATCACTTGCGAAACGACAGCACGCAAGGGTTGAAAACCTTCCAATCCTTGTCGGACTTACAAAGGTCTCTCAAGATCTCCTGTGAGCTCTATCAGTTCATCCGTTGCCTAGAATGTGTCAACTGACCTCGATGAAGAGCTTTGTGCGTCCATATGGATTCGTCGCACTGATTGGAGCATCCTGCTCTTCTGTCAAGGATAATTTCGCAGGACAACAGTCCCTTCAACCTCGGTAATCTTGTCGCAGTCCTTGGTTGCATTCCCGTACACAGTGGCAGAGGAGGAAAACACGATGGCCTTGCACCCACTTTCCCGCATGCACTAGAAAATTAGAATCATCAGATGGCATGATCCGAGAGGTAGGAATGAGATACCTCGAGGAGATTGAGGGCACCAGTCAAGTTGTTCTCATAGTACTCAAGCGGTTTCTGCACCGACTCTCCGACTGCTTTGAGCGCGGCAAAATGAACAACTGAATGAATCGATGTCAAGACTTCGTCAATCAAGACAGAGCTATGGCAACCTGCATCAAACTTTTGCTTCTGAGAGTCAAAAAATTCTTTCACTGCAGACTTGTTCCTGAAAAGTAAAACGAGAGTAAGCGAATGAGATTGAGGGGGAATGGTACATTTCAATCTATCCAAGTACCTGAGATCCAAGTCATGGTATTCCACGGTCTTTCCCGTGATTTCCATGACTCTTTTCAACGATTCTGGCGATGAGTTGCTGAAGTTGTCCACCTGTTTCCCATAGTTCAATGAACACAACCATGAACATCAATCCAACGAATTTCGGCATGAAAATGTGCTCATAATCATGTCTCAAGAGACAATGTCTTAGCCATCGATAAGAACTTGATCGTCACAAATTTGGTCAGCTTCCCTCAACCGGAGCTCCTCGCTGGGAGACTCTTCCCTCATCATGTGGTTAGAAGACGAGAGGAACTCACCACAACAACTTCGTAGGACTCTTGGTCTCCCTGCTTGTCTTGCATGAGTAATCCCAGCGTTGTGTGGCTCCCTATGAAGCCCGCTCCTCCCGTCACTAGCACGCGCATATTCGCTTCCTTGCTAACCCCCTCCACCTCACCGTCCTTCTTTAAAACACCATCTCTGCTGGGGGGTGGGCTTCAACGAACTTGTAAGGGGGTAGTGAAAAATACCCCCTTTTTCCTCACCCAAATTTGAGATTGAAATGGGGTAGGGTGAATAGAAAGCCGGGTAGGGTAATCGTAGTGGTACCCCATCTCAATCCATGCCAGTGGCAAGGTGAGGCGGGCCGTGTAGAAGTTCTAGAACTTTTGAGTACGGTAGAAGTTCTCAACTCGATTTTTGAGAAGTTCATTTTTCAGAGTCCCGGGCAATTGGACTCACTGAGTCAAATGCCAGCCTCGGAGCCTCTCAGCCGGGGCCCGGATGAGGGCCCGGAAGATTGGGGGGCCGCTACTCGTTCGCCATGGGGCAGCGGGAGAAGGTAAGGCGATGCAGGAAACACGCTGAAAGGAGAGGATACGATGGCAGAAGAGCAGAAGGAGCATGGGAAAACGTGTCTTGCTGTGTCGTAGCTCATCATCCTGTTGGTCTCCTCGCGGCTGCGACTGTGTATACTGATCTGCATGAATCTATGAAAGTTCCGAAAAACATCTTGTTTTCCCTGAAACATTTTCTCTGCGTACTCTTGTGCAGTGAAGCTTTGAGTGAGGATGTGTCAATTGCTGTAGCATCTCTAGTCATGTCAACAGAGCTCGCTGATCCTCCTCCTCCTCGATCGCACGAACTTAAGGGTCCCACAGGCTCGAGCCAAGAAGCTGCGGCAGAAGGTGCAGGCGAAGAAAAGTTTCAAGAAAGGTTGTGAAGTTGTGGGTCAGGCTGAGATCTGATGTCTCCTTATTGCATCTTCAGACTTCAAGCCGAACAAACCAACCCTGTCCACTCCAACCCGTGATCGTTCCTACGCGCCTGTCGGGCAGTGCCCTTACGACAGCAAATCTCTGATCCTCGTGGTGGGCGATGGGGATTTTTCCTTCGCTAGGGGCCTAGCGAAGAGGATTGGGTCAGGAGAGAAGTTGTATGCTACATCGCTGGATTCTTCGCAAACCGTCTTGCAAAAGTATAACTCGGCGCCGGCGAACCTACAATTCCTTAAACAGGCGCATGCTAATGTAAGATCGATGTAGAGCACGTCAGAGCACTGAGAACATTTGGCTAGATTCTCCACAACGTCGATGCAACGAAGCTGGAAAGATCCTTCAAGAGGTACACAGAGGAAGGTGAGACGTCTGATCTGACGACGACCGCAGCGAGCGGTTCGATCGAATCATTTTCAACTTCCCCCACTGCGGGGACCAGGTTGCGTGACTGAGGAATGAAGGGCCTGTTCTGATGAGCAGCCAGCGCGTCCATCTCAACAGGGAGCTCCTCCTCAACTTTTTCAGGAGTGCCAGGGACTTCCTGAGGTTCAGGAGATGGTGGTAGTGGCATGTCGGCAGTGACTGGTAGTCAGAGACGAAGGACAAATCCACGTCACCATTAAGGTGAGACCGCCGTACTCGGAATGGGGTGTAGAGGAGAGAGCGAAAGAAGCAGGTGACCACTATTCCTGCCTCCTGCTTCTGCTCCTGCCCTCCCCCTCCTGCTCCTCCTCCTCCTCCTCCTCCTTTGCCTCCTCCTCCTGCTCCTCCTGCTCCTCCTTCGCCTGCTCCTGCTCCCCTTGACTGCGATCAGGGCTCATCCTCCGCAAGATTATTCCTTTTGATCAAAGATTGTATCCGGGGTATCGACATCAGACCACCAAGGTTGACGTCCCTTTTTCAGCTGTTGAGATCTCACATGGTGGAGCAGGCTGATGCCAAGACTTTCGTCGCAGCCAGCGAGCAGGAGGCAAAGTTGTGCAAGACCTTCGTCTTCGTCTCTGTCAAGAAACCTCCTCCGCCCCCTGAAGCTCCAAAACCTACAAGCGGCAAGGAGGGAAGCGCAGATACCAAGGAGAAGGTACCTGCACTGCTAGCGAGCTCGGAGTAACCAGAGGAAAAGGTTGACCCAACGAGTTTCTGGGATAAGAAAACGCTGGCAGAATTGTCCAAGGAGATCCAAGCGATGGTGACACATGCGGACAAGGGTGGATGGGGTGACTCTGAATCTTCACCTTGATGATTCCTGAGTGGAGGACGGCCCGTTGGACTCGCAGGTGGAGCGGAGGAGAAGTACAAGGATGTCGACAAGGAGGAGGATATCGATGACCAAGACATCGACGCGACTCTCGACCAGGAGGAAGCACAGCATCTCTCTCGTGCTGGCTGGAAAGGACTACTAAAGGCCTTTGGGGAAGAGCTGCCAAGATCCGCTGGAAAGGAGCCGAACGCGTCAGCATCACACAAACTTCCCTCCTTGCGCCTCGCAGGAGATGGGAGGAAGCTCATAAAGGCCCTCTGCTACCGGAGGTCGTCGATGGGCATGATGGTAAGCCTGTTCTTTTGTATATCGATTATCTTACACGCAGCATGGAATTCCAAAGCGTCTGAGGTGGCTGCTGGCCCTCAGGAGCATGCGGAGGGAGGAAGGGAGACAATAAACAAGCTGAAAGAGCCCCTATCTCCTTCCCCTACTCTAGACCTCTTTTTCGTTGTTGCCGATCGGCAAAGCAAACCAGTCCTGTTCCAACTCCAAAGTCTCCTCACTGTCGGTATGTCATTGAAAGCGTGAAACAGAGATAAAGAGGAGAAGGATAAGGTGAGGAAGAGGAAGAGAGGAGCAAGAAAATGGAGAGGGAAAGAACCTGGTGATTTCTAGACTTGTCGACTCAAAATTGAATTCCGAGTTGAGTACTAAAGGAAAATCATCACCGACCATGGCAGAGCAAAAGTGGCTTTCGTGACGGGGCAGGTTGAGAGTCAAAACGGGATTGACTGGTCTCACCTGATTGGGGGGTACCCAGTCCTTGACACCATGGTGAAGTTTCGCTTTGCCAGGCTTCATCGGAGAGGACGCTTGCTCCTGTCTCGCAGGAGGAGAAGCTCGATCTGGTGTCGGAGGTGTCCTCTGAAAAATATAGCAGTGAAGCTCCAGTATGCACCGACACGTCCTCAGCTGTTGGCAAGTTCATGGAGCTGAGCAGAAATTCGCCAAGCGGATGAGATCTGCGACTCGAACTCATGCAAGAGCATCGGAAAGCAGAACATCACCGGTGAGGCTCATGGTTGACCAGGGAGCGATCAGGTGAAAGCTTTGAGCAGGGTGAAAGCTTTGAGCAGGGTGACCTCTGCCTTGCATGCAGAGAAAGATGCGGCGGCAAAGTCTTGAACGTTTTCCTGACCCCGAAACGCTTTCCCATAGATGACTTGAGCTCTGAAATGTTTGAGGATGAGTGTGGATTCATGTTCTCCTTCCCCTTAGGAGTCTTTTTCCCTGCTTCCTGGCAAAGGATTTGCTCGCTCAAATTTCTCTTGGCGTGGATGATCAAGTCAGGGGAGAGAGGAGATAGCATGCTTGCCCTGTCCGTCAGGCGGGGAGTTGGAGGCAGGCTGCTGCCCGACGTCTGCGATGGATTCTGTCCCTTAGACCACTCGTAGTCGAGGATCTGATGGAGCACGTAAATCCAAGAAGCAGAAGGGGTAGGAGAAGAAGGTACATGGGGAGGCCCAGGTTCACGAGCAGACAGTCATAAACAGAAGGATTACCTGGACGAGCGCGACCTTGCCATAGATCTCATCGTACATCCTTTCCTTGGCATTACTTCGATTGGTCCCTTCCACCTTGCTGCCGGTCTTGGCAGTAATGCAGTACTTGCAGGGGCAGGAGAAGGAGTGGAGCGTGTAAACGCGCATCAGGAAGCACTTCTCCGCTTCCTGCTGACCAGCTCCTTCACTGTTCATGACGGGCTGAGTGCACTCGTAGGGGATGTAGTGCAGCATCGGAGGATGATCCGACAGGTTTCCAGTAAAGGGAGAGAAAGGCAAGCTTACTTTGAGGTACTGGGCTGCTCCCGACTGCTTCCATTTGAAAAGGCTTCCTCCTTTGCACATGCTGGGACTCAGATCTGACTCGGCGGTGGAGATGAAGTAGACGGAGCCATGCACCGGCCTCACGAGGGTGCGAGGAGGATGATGGCTCCACATCTGGAAGTTGGGATGGAGGAAATCTGATCCACAGTTTGCATACAGATGCTGGACGATGGAGGGATGGGATATTGCGAAGGCAGCCGAGTTCCCATCTAAGAACTTGACGAAAACCTCCCCATTGAGGAGCTTCTCCGGGATTTGCACAGTCCAGTCTAGAAGTTCATGCCGAAGATTTTCATCATCTTCGTTGCTGCAGCTCCAGACGGGCTCGAGCAAGCAAACTTCTTTGAGTCTCTCCACACACACTGGTGGGATGAATTGATGGGAAAGCTTGGATTGACCCTGATTTTCCGAAAACCTGGGGATCTTCCCGTTCGAAACATCCAACACCTGGAGCCCTGTATAAGGCATTGTCTTCAATCGGCAGAAGAATGCATCATTCTTCAAGATCTCCTGCTCCGAAGGCGGCAGCCGGTACTTTTGGCAAGCCATGTTGCCAGTTCTGCAAGAATCGTTCAGGACAAAGATATTGAAATTCCTTAGCTCTGATGATCCTTCAAACTTTGATTTCATCTATTTTTGCTTCTACGAATAAGATCTATATTCTACTCCTTGCTCGCAAAGGTCTTCTTGCTCTCGGAGGGGCCGTTGTATCGCTCCAATTTTCAAACAGTGGTCTGCTCGTACATAAGGACAAAAGGGAGAAGAGCAAAGTAGGGTAGAATGATGATGATAAAGTTTATAAAGAAAAGGATTGGAGTGTGAGGAAAGGTCAGGAAGTGGTGTAATGGGTAGACAAAGACGGACATACACGGAATGGTTGGATGAGATAGTCTAAATTGAAAAATGAGACAGACCAAAAGAGAGAATATCAAAAGATCTTCGTCAGCAAGAAGAAGAAACTAAGCTACAGGATAGTCAAATCGAGTTGGGACACAGGTCATGGCGATTAATAATCAAGGATAAAGGATAAAGGATAAACTGCATTGTCAAAAAGAAAGTGAGATATGGAAAGGGCGAGGAAAGAAGGGTGAAGATTGGTCGAACCTACTTCTTACGTCAGCACTGCTTTGCACCATTATCTTTTCATTCATAATCGTCTCATCACTCCTCCTCTTCATTCTCTCCTCGCATTTTCTCGCCTCCCATCATCCCTCTGCTCCTCGTTCTACACGCCATGTTTTCGAACCCACCAACCTGCCCACCAACCTTTCGGAACCCTTACCTTGGTAACCCCCACCTCCCTTCCTGCAAGTACCCACCCTCATATTCTCTATGAACAACCCGGAATATCCCATGAAAATGACCACCCATTGTGCCTTCCAAAGTACCCCCACCCCTCTGTCCGTACGGCAGCCTCGCACATTTCACATTTAATGTCCTATCACCTCTCTATATGAGATTTGTGCTATTGTGGTACTAGGAACTTGAGTAGGCACGGCAACCCCCGCCTTTTGGCAAAACTTTAAATTTCAGAGGCAAAGTAACGAAATAATAAAAGACAACTTGAAATATTTCATGAACGGTTCAGTGGTAAGATGCGAGGGGTGTGTTGGAAGGGGAAACGGAGGGTAGACCGAGTTTCAGTCGACATAGGTAGGGTAGTCAGCATCTGACATAAGGGGTGGGGGGTCATCATTTGCAACAGGGGTAGTCATCTCCTGTTTCTGATGAGGTGGGGTGATCGAAAGGAAGAAGAGTTTTGAAATGGCGTGGGAGCGGGTGTCGGCTTTGCTGGACGAGACGCGGAGGGCAACGGAGGAAGCGACAGTTGCCATGAAGCGACTCAAGGACGTCAATACATCCATCATAGGGTAGATACACAGTTCTCTTGTCATCTCACAAGTCGACCATTGCTGATCGAACGGTTCCTTTCCAGGTTCAATGCTGGAATGGAGAAATTGCTCAATGGGGTAGTTACGGCAGCTGTTGCTCTAGATCTCGATGTCAGCAAGGTGTCTTCGCATCTTTTTGATTGAAATTTCTGCTGAGATCGAGCTGTTGATGAATCAGAATACACAGAAGGCGGTTCAAGAGAAGGAGAACAGATCATTAGGGAGCGATGAACTGCACGATGACGTCGAGCAAGATGACATCTCGGAAACAGCAGCAGTGAAGCTACCCAGCTCCTCACAAATCCAAGAGTTCTTCAAAGAAAAACTTCCAAAGAAGGTGTGCCAGAACTTGTTTGGACAAGGCAGAACTCTGACAGGGCTCAGTTTCATACAACACTTCACCTCAAGCAATTAGAGATGGTACGCAGCAAGGAATTTAGCAGCCATCAACTACTAAGTTCTGTACAGGTTTTAAGGAAAATCTCTGAAAGCTCAAACCCCATGAAAGCTTCAGACATCGCTTCCAAGACAGGGATCGGGAAAGTCCAGATCGATGAATATCTCTCGGCCCTAACCAAATTGGGGGAAGTTCGGAGGGGACGGAACGTGGTAAGGGTGAAGGCGAACGGTCCGAATGTTGCAATGAATTTCTCCTGTAGGGTTTGCAGGGCGTGCGATTCTCTATCGCTCCATCCAGCACACTTCCAAGGTAAAGAAGTCAGAAATTGAGCCTTTCCTAGCAGTGTTCCTCGGCATCTTGAAGCACTGAGTAACAAATAGATAAATTGTCACATAAATTCTCCAAGTGAATCATGTTTCATTGACTTCAATCGTCCGTCATTGCTTTGGGGTTGAGACCTTTCTTAATCATGCCAATCAGCGGCAAGACCAATCTGGCGATGTCTCGAGGACTTTGGAGTTCCTTAAGGCGACCGGAGTCCACACTCTCCAGCAGCTGATCGACCTGCTGATCTGAGAGGCCCTCCGCCTGTGGAAGTCAGCAACTTGCAAGGTAGAGCAGCAGACCAAACCAACCTGCCCGTAGTCGGCAACAACCGCCATGTATATTGCGACCAGGAGTTTCTCAGCCGCGTCTTGTGGACCGGTCGTTTGACGTAGATCCTCTGGGAGAATGGCTTGCAGGACATCATCCACTTCTGACATGGTGAAGCCTACGATGGCAGATCTCTGCGAAATGCAGGCAAGGGAAGTCAAGAGAAAAGGCAACTAAAGTCGAGAGACATGTCAGGATTGAATTCACCTCGTAAACGTAGGTCATGTTGACAACAACTCCAGCAACTGTCTTCATGCCAGACGAATCTTCTTTGACGCCTCTTCTGCCCACCTGCTCAAAGTAGCACAGGAGATCAAATGAGCACAATCTCAACATGTTACGGGTCAGACTTTCACCTTACAGCCCAACTTTTGTGCCAGATCAAAGAGTTCTACCATGTGGAACTTATACCTGATCAACATAAAAACTCAATTGCTCAATGAATGTTCTCAATATTCAAGCCTGTTTCACTTTTTCTGTAAAGATCCCCAGGAAGGTGAATTTCCGCGAAGCTGATCCATGAGTTTCGACTCCCTCAGCATGTCCAGCTCTATTTTCATCTTCGTGGGAGTGAGTTGAGGATCGATCGTACGAAAATTTTACCCTCATCTCTTGAAATCCATCGGTTGGATCTTCCACTTGTAGATCCAGCAACTGAAATAGATATTACTTTTACCTCAAAAACAAGGTTGATTTCAACCTTGTCATCTTTCATGGCAATCTTGTAGATTTGTCGCATCATTTGGGCGCCATGTCCCTAGGACATCATTACTTTCTTGCTTCATTGCAAGTATCAAAGCAATCCACCTTTCGCTGATACTCAGGAAGAATCAAAAACTGACTGATATTCAAACGGAATATATCATTCCGTCCAACGACATCTTCCAGGTTGGGTGTGATATCCTTTACCTTTTCCATCGTCGTCTACAGGAGGAGTCAGAAAGTCACCCCTCGAACTCAACCCACACATTGACAAGCCGATGACGGTAGAGAGTGGCGAACCCTACGAGTCGATATCTAACTTCCTCCACGTTGGCTGTCTTCTTTGAATTCAAAGTGGTTGCCTCGTAAGTCAGTACAATGGACCATCCAGGGTCGTCGAGCTCAATGTAGGAGAGGGCTTCGATGAACCAGATGGCAAGACTTTGTGTGCGCATGAAGAAGTTTTTGATTTCCGGGCTCATATCAGAGGAAACATGGCACTGGTACATCTCGAATCTGACAGATCCTCCCCTTTGCTCGTTCATTTCCGTCACTTCCCTCTCACACAGACCAATGTCATATCCAGAGTAATAATTCAGGTACTGTCCCATTGGCTTGAAAGGCGGATACCTCTTGCCAGCCTCTTGGACGGCAATGTAATCTGCAGGAGCATGCTCGTGGATGCTTCCAACCACATCGGTCAAGTTCAGTCCAGACTTTTCTATATCTGGGTGCTTGCCCTTGCTTGAGAAGGAAATGAGCGGTCGGAGATCATCTTCTGCATATGTGACGTTGCAAGATGGGTCGATGTATCCATCGATGAGCTCATCGTACCCGAATACCTGGTGAACAAACAGTGGCTTGTATCCCACCAGCCTTCCACTCTCTAACTGATCATGTCTGCCGAATCTTATCCTGACAACATCCATGGCATATGAGGAAACATCAGTCTTATTCCTCCGTATCCATGACGATGAATCGTCCGGAATCTCATGAATGTCTTTGCAGAATTTACTCGCGTTTCCTGTGCCATACTCCATTTCGTCGCTCCCTCCCCTCAATCGGAGCCTCATCGTGGGTCGAAAACCTGAGACACATTGGTGCCATCGACCTGACCACCCTTGCGCAAGCATAGGATAGAGTAAACTCAACAGCAACAAGTTTGAGCAAGAAACATCTATTTGTGACATCTGTATACAGAGGAATAGATGTCTTCCTCTCTGTATCTCTATCCTTCCTATCCAGATCCGCCTTTCCTTCTCCCAACCCTATTCTTTATCTCTTCGTATCTCTCTCGGAAGACAACCCAACGAGGACGAGGAAGTATCAATCAGAGATCATGGCATGACAGAACCATCCTGTCCACCTTCTCCTGACAGCAGCGGCAGCATCTTCAGCGCTATCTCTCCGCATGCCCCGTTCCTGCTGCATAGAGCCCGCCTTTCTGCCTCTGAGGATTATATGTTAGGGGATGAGGGCTACAATGAAGTTCAAGGGAATGAGTGGGGATGGGGTCAAATTACACCAAACAGCACCCACGTCATGGGGGCAGGAGAGGGAGGCGGCGGCTGCCTCTACCATGGAGGGGGGCCGGAGGAGCTGCTTGCTGCTTCTTCGGAGTCTCCTCCTCCTCCTCTCTCTGAGGTGCTGCCATCCTCTTCGTCACCAGCATCTCCGTGCCCTCTCGATCTTGCAATGGATTCTACTGTGGTCCACACTCCCTCCCAGACCTATCATTCATGCCCTCCTTCCCTTCTTGCGTCTGAGCCATCATCTATCACTTGCAACACTACCTGTATGAACCAGGACTCGAGGATGAGACTAGCTTCGCACGTGGCCGCCCACTGTCGTCCGATATGTTCGCCAACCTTCACTGGCGGGCTGTTGAAGAGCTTGATTCTTGTCTCGCTCGTGGCATCAAGCATGTGCGGGCAATTTCATCCGAATAAGAGCACATCCTTTTACAACGAAGAGCAGCTCTTCAAGGTCGAGTACCTCGATGACGCCTCTCTCACTGGCTTCGTAGCCAAGGACGTAGTGCAACTGGGCAGCTACTACGTCAACACACGCTTCGGATGCGTGACCAAGAGCAAGGGACACGACTGGGCGCAGGCAGACGGCATTCTCGGCATGGGTTTCCCGGCAGCGGCTCTGCGCAGCGTTCCTTATCCTTTGTTCTGGGCGCTCACAGACCCAACGAAAGCAGACGAGGACAACAGCAACATCCTCATGAATCGAGTGTTCACCCTTATGCTCTCGGAGGACCGGGGGGAGCTGGTCTTGGGAGGATACGACCCATCTTCAGTGAAGGGCAAGACGGTGACGACAGGGGTGAGGGCCAGCCCGCTCGGCGACGGCACATCAGCATTCATGCACTACATGATCGACGTGCAGAGCCTCAAGATCGGTGATCACGAGCTCCTGCAGTTTCGGGATCAGTCCATCGCCATCCAGGCCATCCTTGACTCCGGTACATCCTGCCTGGTGGTTCCCGACGACACGTTTGAGGGGGGGCTACTTGCAAGCCCCTTCAAGTCCTTCCAGAAGTACTTCGGTGATCTCGATGAGCCCACCATCTACATCACCATCGAGGGGCAGACGTTCTCCCTGCCGTACGACGACTACATGGTGGACGACAAGCCTTGCGTGATGAAGATGAAGTCAACTCCTCGAACTTTCCTGCTCGGAGATGTCTTCTTCCGGAGGATGGTAGTCGTACATGACCTCAACGATCCGATGCAACCAAAGGTCACGCTTGGCCAACGAGCCCCTGGCTATCAGCTCACCACTCAGTTCAAGAAGATTGGGGATCGCAACCATGTTCCTCTCGGCAAGAAGAAGGTTCAGAAACCTCAGCCCATGACCATCCCGGCGATTCCCATCCGTCCTGAGGAGCAGCAGCAGCAGCAGTCTATCTCCCCTGTGGTTCAAAGCGCAAGTCAGCGTGTCCAACCCATGATACCGAGCCCGGGCTCGCAGCAGGTCCAATATCAGACCTTCGTGTCTCATCCCATGGACGCCGGCCCTGCCTTCCCGCCGCAGCAGGGGAGCTACTCAGCGGCGGGCCAGTACGCTCCTCAGTACGCGAGCCCACAAATGCCAGCAGAACAGGGAGGCGCGTATCCTGTACAGAACGGGATGATGGTGAGTGATGAGGAGCCGCCCCTGCACAACCCATCGCTGGGTGGGCAAAGGAGGCTCCTGGGGTTCACGCACGACGTGGAGAGGATTCCTATGACGACGAGCAACTCTTACATCTACTATGCCATCCTTGAGGTTGGAACCCCAAGGCAGAAGGGAATCCACGTCATCCTCGATACTGGCAGCTCTGTCTTCGCCATCTTCGCGGTGCCGCATGGTGGACCTTCGCTTCTCGTCATCTGCCTGCTGGTCGCTGCCTGTATCCTCGGAGCCACGAGCATCGGACTCCTGGCCTTATCTTGGTACCAGGTCAGCTCAGGTTCTTGCTAAGATTGCTGCAGGTCTGACTGTGCCGTTTGACAGGGGACGTATGAGGAGATGGAAGAAAGCATGGATCCTCTACTGGGACAGCCGGTGGAGGGCAGCCCCCTGTGATTCGAAGAAGACAGGGATATCACAGCACACAAAGAGCGAGGAGAGGATGGTCCATAGTTGAAGAAGCTGCTGTTGGAGCCTCCATGGACGGGAGAGATTTTCCTGATTGAAGCAGCCTGGGGACGAACTGGCTCATACTTCATTTTAGTAAACAGGGCTAACGTATATGAGGTAGTCATGCCCTGCCCTTGACATCCTCGTGGTGATGGCGGACAAGCGATGTGACCCATACGTGCTCATCAGCAAATGAGGCGAACATGTGTGTGCCGCCTCAAGGCCTCAGCCTGATCCGATCAGATTACTTCTTCGCACCAGCGAGCTCAGCTTCTTCCCGGTAGCCATTGGGGTTCTTGCACTGCGAAGGAGTGAGGAGGGGAAGGAGTAAGGAGGGGAAGGGCTCTACCTGCCAGTTCCACGCGTCTTGGCACATCTCCTTTACCCCAAGTTTGGCCTCCCAGTGCTAAGTAGGATGTCAGAGTACCATCTCAACACTTCGATCGACTGACCAGCTCCTGCTTTGCCTTTGCTGCATCAGCATAGCACGTGGGCACATCTCCTGATCGACGCGGCCCAATCACGTATGGAACTTCTCTGCCGCTCGCCTGATCGAGTTTTCCCCTTCGTCAACTCCAAACAAAACGAGACTGAAAGATTCATCACCTCCTTCATCGCCTTGACCATATCAAGGACGGAGTACCCATGACCAGTTCCCAGGTTGTACACAACCTGCATGCTATCAGCGTGCAAGAGCGACACTACGCATGTCGCTCACCTCCCCTTCGATCGAGAAGAGCTTGTCCACAGCAGCAACATGTCCCTTGGCAAGATCCATCACATGGATGTAGTCGCGGACTCCGGTGCCGTCGGGAGTGTCGTAGTCGTCTCCAAACACAGTCAACTTCTCGAGCTTGCCGATTGCAACCTTGGTCACGTAAGGCATAAGATTGTTGGGAATGCCCGATGGGTCCTCTCCGATCTTGCCACTCGAATGTGCTCCCACAGGATTGAAATATCTCAAGTTGATGACCTTCCATTCTGGATCTGCATTGGCTACATCACGCAACATCTCTTCGATGAAGAACTTGGTTCTCCCGTAGGGGTTTGTGCATTGCAGTGGGAAATCCTCGGTAATAGGTACCTTGGCAGGGTTCCCATACACAGTGGCAGACGAAGAGAAGACGATTTTCTTGCATCCTGCTGCAGACATGGCCTTGATCAAATTGAGAGCTCCAACAAAATTGTTTTCATAATATGCGATTGGCTCTCTCACCGATTCGCCCACAGCTTTCAAGCCCGCACAGTGAATTACCGCGTCAACCTTGTTTTCCTTGAACACTTTATCCAGCGCTGCCTTGTCACGAATATCCACATCAAACACTTTCTCGATCGACTTCCCAGTGATCTCTCCAACTCTCTCAATACTCTTCTTGCATGAGTTGCTGAAGTTGTCCAGGATCATCACTGTGTATCCAGCTTCTTGCAACGTAACAGCACAATGCGTACCAATGTACCCAGCACCTCCGGTGATGAGAACGTTACCCTTTCCTCCACCGCGAAGATTCAAGTTGGAAGGAATGTGTCTCTTGAACGGCACATAGCCATGTCGTTGGATCTTTGCAAGAGATTCCTGAGCAGGGAGTAACAGAGGGCCCTGTGCTGCATTCGTCCACGCTATCGAGGAAACCAGAGCGACTGCTAGGATTATGGTCTGCATTCTGTAGAACAGTCCTGAAGAGATGGGATCAAAATCGAAGGATTAAACAGAAAGTGCTCAAAAAACAGCTGAGTAATGTGGGAATAGAGGTGGAAACATGATTTGCGCCCACCGTCGGAGGAGTGGGGCGCAACAACACAAACATGGAACAAATGCACAACAAGTCTACAAACATTCCGAGAATCTCGACTAGCCATCGAGACCTTGCCCCTCACCCTACTTATGAGCTCTAGAACTTCCAGTTTACCTTGAATAGCCTGATCCCCTGAAATTGTGATGAACCCCGTAGAATTCACCTTCGCTTTCTTAGAACTATCTTTCTTACGTCCCACCACCTCTGGTATATTTCTTTGATGTTCGGTTGCATGCCTCCTGGTTCTCCATCATTTTGAATACTTGGATCTTGTGATCCTGTCTCGTTTGCTCGTTCCCGCTATCCCCGCCCTTCATACTTTCTGTTGCGTTCCTTGCCTTCCATGATCTCTAGGTGATTGTATCTATGTTTTTCTTGATATCCCTCTCCCTCTTGACATCTCTGCCTAGTCGAGCTCGCTTCTTCTTCTTCTCTCTCTCTCCTTCTTGTACGCATGTTCCTTTCTTCATACCCCATCCTGTCTTCTTTTTTCTTTTTCTTTCTCTTTTTTGGCCTTCACAAATCCTCTGGAATCGAATAGAACCGGAGGCCAACCCACTTGTCCAACCTACCCCACCCCCTACGAATCACCCACCCCCTTTTCCCTCTACAAATCACTACAAATGGAACGAAGACCACCCCCCGAAAGTCATGACCCCACCCTCCATAGTACATCACAATAGGGTTCCATCCGGATCAGGGGTAGGGTACTTCTGGGATCAGGGCTATGTACCCTACCCTTCTTTGACAGGTATCTTTTTGAAGTACCCCTAGTCCAATAACAGAATTTTTTATCAAAAGAGGGGGTACTTTGTAAGAAGAAGCTACCCTTACCCCCTATCAGATGTCATAGAGTTGCACCTGCAAAACAACACCACCCCATACATATCATAGTATCACCCGTGTCATTCTAGATAAATCCACCGGTAGTACTAGATCTGGTGACTCGGATCCGAGGCCCTCATCCCCTCATCAGCTTCAGCAGGGTCACCTGACTGGAAGGCTCTGTCACCCGACGGGCCGGGCGGCCCGGTCCGTTATTTGGCTATTGTCTCACTGTAACGGTCCCGGTTTCAGCAAATCAAAGCTTGAGTCAAGTTTTGACGCCTCCTGAACCAGTCACAGTCTTGCGTCCTCGCCTGCACTGATACCGTAGCAACGTGACTGAGAGACTTGCGTGTGATCGTTGCCCCTGGCTCCTCCTACTTGAACTCTCAGATTCTCCTGCTTCAGTGTCATCATCCCCTGCTCGTCCTTTCAGGTCCCTCTGATCCGATCCACTCGGCGCCGCCGTCGTCATAATCTTTTTATCCATATGGTATGTTTTTGCTGCTTTCTGAATTCTTTCGTGGTCATCCTCTTGGTTTCTGAGTCTTCTCAAGATGCTTGATTGCTGCGGGTCGAGAGACGTGCCCAAGCATGGCGCAGAGTGAGTGTTTTTCATCCGATTCAAGAAAAAATGCTTTTCTTGAAATCGGACCTTCCCGGACTCGGAAGGACTGTGATTCTATGTCTGAAAACCTTCATACCAGTGTACCTCTAATGACCTGTGGGCCTATCATTGATTGCGGGTTTGTGGGAACGTATCGTGTTGGGCACAAGTTGTTTCTAAAACTTGGAATTCCATGTGGAAATTACAACAATACATTACTCATTTTTTACTCAGGTACGCAGGAGACACGTCCATTCAAGTCTTAGCTCCTCGTCAAACTGGAAAGGTTTCACCATTTTGTTTCTACTGGTTAGACTGACCACAGCTGCAAAGCATGTCGGAGTAGGGATAGTGTTTCAGCCAGATTCAACCGGTGCTCTCCATGTCAAGTCTCTTGCAGTGGGAGGACCAGCAGAGTTGTCAGGGAGTGTGCAGGTGATAATGCCGGCTGTCAGTTAGACAGTGAGCCGTTTCGATGCAGATTGGAGATGTTCTCCACGAGATCGACGGACATTTCGTATATAGGAGGTTCCTGGAGTGAGGGCTGGGTACTGTCTACTCTTACCTCATGATCCCAGGCCAGTCAGCCAACTGGCTCCGCTTATACTGGGTCAAGAAGGAACGACTGTGCGGCTGGGGCTGCAGAGGAGTGAGCTCTCGCAGCTGGTATATGTGGAGCTTCAGAGGAAATGGAGCATGAAAGAGAACCCTCAACAAGCCCTCAGTCAAGGAGCGAAATGGACACATCCGCTTCCTCAGGTATGCAGAGGGAGAGGATGGGTAGGAAGCAGTTAGCGAGAACGGATTGGTGGTAAGGAGGGAGGTGGATCACATGTGAGATTGACTGTGAGTAACATGGAATGAAGGGGATACGGATGTCAAACTACACTGCAGGACAAACCAGATGAACATTCTAATTTCAAGAAGAAGAACAGCAACACGGTCCAGCCAACTTTTTATTTTATGAACCCATGTTGCATTAGATTTGTAAACAAGTTTTGTAAGCACCCGCCCATAACACAAGATTCTCGTTGGGGTACAACAGGTCACACGGATCTCAACTTCAGGTCCACGGTCGATGGCCCATGGCTGCGAGTTTGGTAAACAAGAAGGGATTAAAGTCTTGCGGCATGATGTAAAACAGCAGCTACTTCTTGGATTCAAGTTCTGCTGGTCTGAACTGATAACATCCAACAAACCAGAAAAAAATCCTGATGAACCTTGCATGCTTCCAAAAACAAAGTGATGGACTCCGGCTCGAACAAACAATGTGGCCGTTTCTTGTCTTGTGCATCATCCTAGATCCAAGGACGTAATATCCATGCAAGAGCAGTAAAACCAAGAAACGCTTCTTGGGGCCTTGCAAGGATATGTTCGCATTACTCAGCTTTCTTGTTTGTATTTTGTGCTCGCAACAGATCCTTCTCCTGCGAATTAGGATTTTTTGCATATTCTTCGAACGGATCTTGCTTCTTGTCGATGAAAAGATCAATGATGTACGACATTACAGCAAAATTCACGCAACCCGAAGCCATTGCGCCAACTCCTTTGCCGCAGTTACCAACCACACCTGCAGAGCAGGCTCCCATCATGTTGTTCCATTTGTCAGTCTTGCCTCTGATCTCGCGTGCAAGCACCTCAACGCCACAAAAAGCTGCACTCATTGAGCCCCATGCTGTCCCTGTGGAGAATCCGTTGCTCATTGCTCCCTTGAATCCGTTTCCTTTGAAGCCTGTCATCGTACCAAAGATCCAGCCGATGACCCAGGGGCCAATGAACCCAGTTATCACAGATCCTAGAACTTGATCGACGCTGCGGGCAATCTTCCTGATCTTCTCCGCTTGAATCTCTTCCGCACTCTTCACTGCTTCTGCCTTGGCACGGAGCGCTACCATGAGCCCCTCTTTCGCACGTATGAGGCTAGTGTGCGCTGGTTCGCTTGACGGAGAGATCCAGGAGAGAGGAAGGCGGGGAAGGACGGGCGTATGGATCAGAGCATGATGAGTGAGCGGAGTAGCATGTGCCATCATCAGCACACATAAGCTTGCTGCCGCCGTCAGCACATTGGCCGGCCGCATGGCGGAGTGAGCGAGCGTATGTCAGGTAGAGGAGGGTGGGTAGTGAGAAAGGGGGTAGGGTAGGACTTTGGTGAGGTGGAGGTAGATCAAGGCAGGAGAATCATAGAAGTTTGGAGGGTACTTTATAAGTAAAAAGGTGGGTATACATAAATTGACTAGGGTACTTTTCCGTAGAAGGGGGTACTAGATGTGGTGGCCGGGGTCAAGTGCAGGGTATCCCGGGATAGGGGAAGTGTACATTATTGTGGTAGGGTACTTGAAAAGACAGGGGTATAGATACAGAATTTGTACCGGAAAACATGCTCTTGCCTCACTAGGGTAGTACATTACTAAGGTGGTCACAGGGGTAGGGTACCTACACGAGGGGAAGAACCCACCCCATCAAATCAAAAACCCTGATTCGACCATCAAGTACCCCCAGTTTTACTATCCAATGACCCACCGTGGGTATCCCGACCCCTGCATATGAATTGTCCGCTAGACGGTGACTCTGTGATGTTGGGATACGCGATGGGGACAAGCGTATTCAGCAGAGTGTGCTTGATAGCGAGTGTAGCGATGATCATGTTCGATCATGCCTTGAGCTTCACTCTTCCAACAACTACTCTCTCTGCAGGAATGCGACAGAACTTGGGGTAAGAGTTATATGACTGTGATTCTCCTCTAGGGCTCCCTGAGTATTGCATCGGGCAGACACTCTTGCAGATCAAGGAGTGGAAGGACAAACGCTTTGAAGATGAAGCTTGATGTCGCTCCTCAGGTAACTTCCGCATACTCCTATTCCGAATCTGGTTTAGAAATCGTGTCTTGTCTGCTGAAAGATGACCTTGTTTGCGCTTTCGTAGGTGATTCAACAATTCCCCACAGCGCAGGAGCAAAACGAATGTTTGAACGTGGTAAACAGAGCCATTGCAGAGCTGAACAAGAACACAAAGAGCACAAGTGAAATGGGGCGTGCAGAAGGTGTGACTTACATTTTGGCGGGTGGAAGACCACAGAAGGTGTGCTAGAAATATTTATTTCAAGTTTTCCTTGTCACACTCCGATCAGGGGGTGATATCTGTTCGATTCAATTGCAAGTTCAAGAAGGGCACTACAGCCATGCAACCAGGATTCATGGCCAAGAGCATGCCTTTCTTCGGACCGTCGACGAACGAAGGGGAAGGCAGAGGTTTCCAAGTAGCCCAGGTCTCTTGTCAAGCGACGGCTACTGACGTCATTCAACTTTCTATTGATGTGGATGGAGGATGGGGGAGAAGATTGGCGATAATTGGTCGGTAGTCTGCAGCTACGTTGCTAGCTCCTTCTTCTCTGTAGATTACACTATCCTCCGAATAAAATCTCGCCACTCACTGTACAAGTTGGCCGATACCGGCTGCTGTAGGCTCACGATAAACTCGTGTGACGAATCAATCTTCACCCTTCCTCGTCCTCTCCTGGCCGCTGAGCTCCCCCAGTCACCGATCATATGGTGGAGAAGAGAACGGGATGAAGGCCCGAGGTTGAAAGTCCGTCCCTGTTCACGGTTTTGTCTGTGATCAGCAGCTGTGGCACTGATCAGTTGTACAGTCAGTGCCCGGCGGCGGGCTCGGCGCAGGAAAAAAGGCAGAAAAAACCACTGCTAGAAGGAAAATCGCTGCCCCTGGTGATGTCGTTGCCAACTGACATTGTAGCCATGGGGAAAGAGGCCAGGGGAGGCGAAAGGGAGGACGAGGAAGGGCGAGTGAGGGAGATGGAAGGAGGTGGGAGGTGAGAGAGCTAGAAGAAGAAGAGAACGGGTTGAAGGTCCGTCCTCCCGTTGTTTGGAGATCCTCCGGTAGAAGGCCAACAAACTTTTGAGAGTTTCAGTTGCAGCTCGTGTCGCCATGCGGAAGAAGGTAACAGGTTTGAAGTTTTCGGGGCTTGCCAGCCTTCCGCTCCCCGAGCCCAAACAGAAGAGCGCAACAAGTGACAAGGTAGATCCGAGTGAGCTGCTTCAGTTTCTGTTCCCAAGTGGGTTCTACCATTCCAAGTCAACCGCCCGACTGTATATATTCGCTGAGTACGGGCCAACTCTGGTGCGGGTACGGGATGGATGGATGAGCCTCCGAGCAGGGTACAAGGGCCAACACATTGTAACAGAACAAGAGCTGTCTGACATGATCGATGAGATGATACGGGAGGATGTCCTGAAAGTTTACGTTGGGGATGCTGTGCTCAAGCCATCGGAGCAGGAGGAGATCCTGTCGCAGGCTGATGACAAACTCAAGACCATCCCGAACTATACCAAGGAAGAGATTGAAGAATTGCTGTCACCCTGTCTGGACAGCGATGGGTTTTACAACTTCAAGAAGTTGCAGGAAATTGTTCACAGCGAGAGGAGCGAGAAGCTGAAAGAGCGGAAGAAGACATTTCCAGACATTGTCAACAAAGTGAGATTGCCGAAGAAAGCATTCAGCTTCTACGAGGAGACGTTACAGCAGAGCATACGGTTGAAGAAGTTTCGAGATAGCGAGATCTTCCTCAACACAGCAAAGGCCCTCAGCAGGAACGCTTTCCGAATCTCCGAGGTATGTCTCCGACCCCCTCCTCCTGCTCCTGACTAACTTGCTCCCTTCCAGCTGAAGGACTTGAACAATCCTGCGCTCTCTTCAAATTCTGTCTTCATCCGTGAAGACATCGGCTTCAACCCCGCCATCCCGATGTTCAAGATTCCTGTTATCCGGGGCAGAGCCTCGTATGTCAAACCTCACGAGCCTTACACGAAGAAGCATGTTTACGAGGGTTGACAACACCCCTCAGTATATTCTTATGAGATAATGCATGAACAACACTTTCAAACCTGATCCACTCGGATCATTGTGCTGTGACAATGGCTGGAATTCAATCTCGTCGGTGATGATGTTTGCCCTCATTCGGTTGTCACCTGAACCAGCCGTCATTGAACATCATGGCATGCTTGGGATTACATCAAGATTTCCTTTCTGCTCCTCCCGCTTCCTGTAGAGCTCAACTTGCAATCAAGTTGTACTTGAACCCTTGGTATGCGGTCAACTAAACACACATACTTTGAACCTTTACCTTTCAACCCTCATATGGCTCACCTTTCAACCTTCACAGTGTGTCCGTGGTGACAGGAACTTTTGTATCATTGCTTTACAACTGACATGAGGAATGTTTTATCCTCCCAAGTTCAGCTCAAGAAACAGACCTAGCTAGTAGCTAGCTAGATTTCCTGACTCATTTTGACAAGCCGTTGAATCTAGTAATGGGCATGGCGATAGGGCGATGACGGACGAACGCGGCAATGGTGAGGGATCAGTCGTCACAGCAGCAGCTCCTGCTGCATCCCATGCACTTGCCCTTCCCCTGCTCCCCCTCTCTACCTGTCCTCTAGAGGCCTCCCCCTCCTCCTCCTCCCCCTGCCTCCTACCGCAGGCAGAGATCGTCAGACCTCTGTTCTCTCTCCCCTCTGACCCGTTTCTTGCCCAGTCACCATCGAACCGCTGGATCTCAACCCGCTCACCAGCCGCCTGCAGAGAGGCGAGTCAAGGAGATCCACGAGGCATCTCGAGAGCCGAGGAGAGAGCAGGAGGTCGGGGAGGTCGACAGACCTGAGCGCTAGGAATCTGACGCAGAAGTTAAACATAGAGTCAGCCTTGACGGGTCTGACAGGTAGAGCTCCCTTCCTCATCCTCCTCCCCTGCTTGCACCACACTCTCTCCTCTTGTTCGCTCCTCATCCTCTCTCCCCCCCCTGTCCTGCTCCTCTCCCAACGTTCCCGCATGCGGTAAGGAACTGCTGCGGTCCCTCCTGACTTGGATCGTGCCATCAGAGTCTGAGAGGCGATGGCTATCAACCCTCGTCCACGACATGGAAGCAGCAGCCACCAAGGACTCTCTCATCACCCCCCGCACAGACCTCGGCATCAAGAAGTTGAGGACGGCCCTCCCGCCTACCCGGCAAGTGGCGGATCCCATGGCGGCGGGCAGGAGCAAGAAGAAACTGCTGGATGAGCTAAGAGAGGAAGTAATGAGCTACGATGATCTCCTCTCCTCTCCTCCTCCCCCTCCTCGTCCCACCCTCAGGAACGCTGCCATGAGGATGATCCGCGGAGAACCTGTCGAGGAGACGAGCGAAGGATTAAACCCGTCGGCTAACGCAGTCTACTTGCAAGCTTGCAAGAAAGCCCAGCTGGTACCGAACAAGCGCGTACAGGTGAGGAAGGAGATCGTCTCTGTGCTGGAGGTGTGAGGTGAGCTGTTCATCTAGAGCATCTTCAACAACAGCGAGAGCGTGAGCCTGGCGGGAATGTCGTTGAGCAAGGGGATCCTGGTGAGGGAGGATGATGAAGATGAGGGATGCAAACTGCTGACTGGTTGACGACAGGCGATGAGTGAAGCATGTAAGACGGAGGATGAAGAGACGAGGGAGGAAGGGGAGGAGGAGGTACTGAATATTCCCGTGCTAGTGCCTTACGCCGTTTCCTCGTCATCCCCCGCACTGCTCTCCTCCCTGGACCTCTCTCTCAACAGGATCGATGACGGCCTGCTCAAGAAGTTCTGCAGCTCCATACAGAAATATCGAAACCTGACGTCTCTCAACCTCTCCGGTTCCAACCCTCATCTTTCCTCCTTTTCTGTCGTCACCCATGCTCTCTGCTCTTTCTGTTCTTCTTGCTCAAAACATCTTGTTCCTGCTCCGATCACTTCCTCTTCTCATTTCTCGCACAGGAAACCTAATCACATCCGTCGGCCTCGCGGACATAGTCGACAAGATCCTCCTGTCCTCCACCTTCTTTCTCCAATCCCTCGATCTCTCCAACAATCATCTTTTCTTCGGTCGCGGCATCGCTCCTCTCCTCCCCCCCCTCGCCTCCCATCAGGCCTCCAGCTTGACCTTCCTCAGCCTCAGTCACAACCAGCTGGGAAAAGAAGCTGGAAAAGTGCTGGGGGAAATCCTTGCGAGCAACGTCTCGCTGACTGAGCTTGACGCCAGGTACAAACAAAGGGAAAGCAGAAAGAGGAGGAAAGATGTGGTGCAGGAGCAGGAGCAGGAGCAGGAGCAGGAGCAGGAGCAGGAGCAGGAGCAGGAGCAGGAGCAGGAGCAGGAGCAGGAGCAGGAGCAGGAGCAGGAGCAGGAGCAGGTGGTGGTGGTGCTGATGATGATGATAATGGAGAAGTTACACGAATGGGGTAATGCAGGGGAAGGTATGGAGGGAGTTTGAAGGAAGAAGAGGATGAGGAGGGTGGAGGATAGAACATTCTCACTCGCGCTGCTAGCTGGAACAAGTTGCGGCTAAAAGGAGCAGTCGCTTTCCTCAACGGGCTCATGAAGAACAGCACACTGAAGTCACTTGATATCAGGCATTTGCCTCCCTCCTCCCTCCTCCCTCCCCCCTCCTCCCTCCTCCCTCCTCCCTCCTCCCTCCTCCATCCTCCCTCCTCCATCCTCCATCCTCCCTCCTCCCTCCTCCCTCCTCCATCCTCCCTCCTCCCTCCTCCCTCCTCCCTCTTCTCTACCTCCCCACTATACTTTCTACCCGCAATGTGGTCCTCTTCCTTCCTATCCCCTCCTCCCTTGTCTCCCTGTCTCTTCCTTCTACTCTCTCTTTCCGTGCGCTCCTCCTCTCCTTCACTCATGTCAAGGCAGCTGGAATGGGTTCGGGGACGATGATCCGGTGCATGCGCTGGTGGAGGTGATACAATCAGCTGAGCTGAAGCTGGAGAAACTCAACTTGACGAGGTGCAAGCGACCCCCTGCTGGCTCTTCCTACTCCTCCTACTCTTTTCTCCTCTCTCTGCTTCCTTTCAGTTCCTTTCCTCCCTCCTCTGCCTTCCCTGACAGCCCGACCTCCCCCTGCTTCGCCTCCTCCTCACAGCCTTGCTGCACCTCCCTCCCATCCTCCTCCCATCCTCCGTCCTCACTGAGTACGAGTGCTGTGCTGATCCAGGAACCGCATCGGTCAGGGAGCATGCTTTGCGCTGTGCGAATGTCTTCAAAGAAATACAAGTTTGAAAATGCTGATCCTGGACGGTGGAACCTCCTCCTGCTCTTCCTGCTCTTCCCCTCCCCCTTTCCAATTTTCACCCACAATCCTACACTTTCTTCCTATCATCCTCCGCTTTGCTTTCGTCTTGGTTGTCTCAACTGACAGATCGGTTGATGCGATTGCAGGAAATCCGCTTGGCGAGAAAGGAGTGAGATGAAGAGAAGAGCGGAAGGATGATGGGGAGGAGGGGAGGGAAGGACGGAGGCTGGCACAGAAGGGGATTGAAGGAAAGAGGATGAGAGGAGAAGAAGAGAGAAGGAAGAAAGAGGAGAGGAGGGAGGGAGGGAGGGAGGGAGAGTGGGGGAGGCTCCCTTGACCTCTAGCGCAGGCGCGGGAGCTGGTGAACCTTTCTCTGAAGCAGTCGAAGGAGGAACAGCGAGACTTTCCGCTTGAGGTCTCCCTGCGAGATTGCTCGCTGGTAACGGAGGACGACGAGCAGGCAGACTTCAACATCGCAGAGCCAGCAGGAGACTACAGGCTCAACCTCTCCGTCGTCTACTCGAGGAGCATTGTCAAGAGCCTCGTCGGCCTCGCGCTGAGAGGACGAGGAGAGTTCACGCGAGGAAGCGTCAAGCTGGATGGCTCTCCCTTCCTGCTCCAGGTCTCCGTCGACTTCGACCCTCCTCGCATCGGCATCCTGGAGTTTCGGTTCAAGGACACGAGCAGCGGATGCTTGGAGAGTGACGAGACCATCTTCTCTGCCTTCTTGCAGTCGCTCAAGGAGCCCAAGAGCAGCATGGAGCGAAAGCTGCTGATGCGGATGGTGACTCGAGGGAGCGCGTACCTGACGCTCCTCCAGGTCAAGGAGATCATGCTGATCCTCTCCAAGGGATCAGGGGCAAAGCCGCATCATCATCATCATCATAGGGGAGGGGAGCAACAGGAGGAGAGGAGGAAGAGAGGAGAGGAGGAGGAGGAGGAGGATGTGGTAGAGAAGCTGTTTCGGGATCATGACGACGATGGCGATGGGGCGCTGGACTGCAGGGAGTTCAAGAGGAGCATACGGTCGATAGCAGAGGAGACGATCACAGAGGAGGACCTGGAACGGATGTTCGAGGAGGCAGACTGGGACGGGGGCGGATCCATCTCTGAGCTGGAGCTCAACACTTTCTTGGGGGGGAGGAGAGACGGGAGGAGGAGGAGCTCGACGGCGTTCACGACCGAGGCCTTGGAGAGGATCGAGCTGATAGTCTGCAGCTACAATCGGCTGGTGGAAGGGACGAGCCGGTCGCGGGAGCTGCTGCTGCTGCTGGAGAACGAGCTGGAGAGGAAGGAGGCGGAAAGAAGGCTGGGGCTTGACCTAGTCTCCTTCTCTCAGTCAAACCCAACAGGATTCTACGACATCAACCTCGCTGAACCGGTCCAGCGAGAGGTACCAGCGATCCATCCTTCTCCTTCTCCTTCTCCTTCTCCTTCTCCTTCTCCTTCTCCTTCTCCTTCTCCTTCTCCTTCTCCTTCTCCTTCTCCTTCTCCTTCTCCTTCTCCTTCTCCTTCTCCTTCTCCTTCTCCTTCTCCTTCTCCTTCTCCTTCTCCTCTCCTGTCCTCTCCTGTCCTAACCTGCTTTCCCTTTGCCTTTCCTCGGCCTCCTCTCCTCCCGCCCTCCTCTCTCCTGCTTTCCCCTCTCCTCTCCTCTCCTCCTCTGACTTCCCCCCTCTTCTCAGATAGTCCTCCGTCTCCGAGCCCTCAAGATGGAGAACGAGAAAGTGGAGCGCGAGCTGCTTTTCTACCACTCCCAGCAGAGGAAGGGAGGTCCCCGCGACCGGCTCGAGCGCGTGTGGCGCAACTGCGTTCATCATGACCCAGGGAAGGAGGAGGAGAGGCCTGAGGGAGACAAGATCGTCTTCGAGCATGACTGGCGTATCCCGTCGCGCGGGAGGCTCCTGCTGGACTTCGTTCACATCGTGCGACCCCCTGCTGAGGCGGTTGCTGTGGATGAAGACAAGTTCAGGTAAGAGGGTGAAGAGGGAGCAGGAGCAGGAGCAGGAGCAGGAGCAGGAGCAGGAGCAAGAGCAGGAGAATTGACCGCCTCGTGCTTCAGGGTACTGCAGCTGAGAATGGGACTTGCGAATATCTTCAGCACAGACGAGCAGGACGAAGCGAGGTTGAAGATGGTTGTCGACTTTCTGAGCAGGTCAGCTCCTGAATCAGCTGCTGCTTGTACTAGAGAAACTCGCCCTGTCCTATAACTATTGCTCTCCTCCTCCCTGCTCTACATTCTGATCTTTGATTTCTCCTCCTCCTCCCACGTCACTCTCTTGTATTCGATTCACGACTCCTCACAGAGAGTTGCAGGCAGTACGTCTGTTGCCATCAAGTTTCTTCTCTTCTTGATCACTTCATCTCCCACGAGTTCTGCGTGGAGGTCATGGTCAAGGCTTTCTCGCGGGTCTGTCCTACTTGCCTCCTCCCCCTCTCACTCCTCATCCCTCTTCTACTCTCTCCTCCTCTTCTTCCCGCATCGTCTACTCTCGATGTCTCTATCCTCAGCTCGCTGTCATTGTTCGACTTCCTAATGATTTGCTGTCTTTGCCATCGTTTCCTCTTCCTCTCCTTTAACTTTCGATTTCTTACGCAGGTTGTCGACTGGCACAATTTCATCAATCTCCTCGGGCGTTTAGGACAAGCAGAGACGAAAGCGTGAAAACTCCTCCCCTCTCCTCCCCTCGCTGCTTCAACTCTTCGATCTCGTTGCTCCATCTCTCCTCTCCTCTCTTCTCTTCCTCCATCTTCCACACTTCTTCACTGATCGTGCATCATCATGTGGTCAGCGTTCTTCACCGCCTCGGCTATCCAAACATCTTCACAGAAGGTTTCTACCTCCTTCTTCTCTCCATCATCATCGTTTTCTTATCGTTCTTCAATCCTTCCCTCATCGTCCACCTTCTACTCGTCCTCGCCCTCCTCCCTCCTCCCTCCTCCCTCCTCCACCTCTTCCTCATCATCTTCCTTTGCAGTCATGGCGGCAGGCTACTACGAGCTCGATCTCTCGCTCAGGGAGCAGCGGTGGATCTGCCAGGCATGCCTCCTGCTCTCCCCCAGCAGCTGACAGCAGGGGCAGGAGCTGGTTCACCTGGCCGACGCCGAACCAGGGCTCAACTGTGTCGACGTGCAGTACAACGGAGTCGACTTTGAGATCCCAGCAGGATGGACCAACGATGTCCCAAAGAAAGGCATCCTTGAGCTGTGAGCTGCTTCTCCTCCTCCCTTCCTCCTCCTCTCCTCTCCTCCTCCTCTTCCTCCTCCTCCCCTCCTCTTCTCCTCTCCTCTCCTCTCCTCTTCCTGTTGTCAATTCCCCGCACATACCTCCGCATCTCATCGGTTCCCTCTGTACCTTGGTTGACAACGGTTGTTTACTACTCTCCTTCCTCCATCTCCTCGTCCTTTCATGTCACAAGACAGTCAGCAAACAATCTCTTGCTACTTTTCCACATCAGTTGCTCTTCTTCTGCTGCTGCTCCCCTCCTTCACCTCCTTCTCCTTCTCCTTCACCTCCTCCTCTTCCTCCTGATTCTTTTTCTCCTACTCTTCTGCCTCCAGCCTGTTTCTCACTCGTGCTGCACTTTACTTCTACTAACCACATCTGCCTCGTCGTCTCAGCTACTACTGCCGTGAGCTATTTCTTTCTCCTCTTCTGCTCCTCACGTGCTGTGCAGGAACGAAGGAGGTAACGAAAGGCGTGATAGCTAAGGGCTCATGGACGGGAAGCTACGTCAACCCTTGGAGAGGTCGAAGACCTTGTAGCGCCTGTTAGATCGTCCTCTTGCTCCTCCTCCTCCTCCTACTACTACTACTACTACTACTTTTCATCATCATCCTCATTCTCATCCTCATACTCATCCTCCGTCTGCTCATGTCCTTCTTATCTTACTAGCTTCCCTTCTTGCCAAAAACGCTTGTTCAGTCTTGTTATTTGAACCCTCTCTCCTCTGACTCTTCTACCAGTCAACGGATCTTCGCTTTCAAACTTCTGCGATGCCTATATCAAGCAGTGAGTCAGAGCCTCTGCTTCTGCTTTCTTTGCCTTCCTCTGCTCCTCTTTCCCTCCTCCTTCCCCGTCCCTTCATCCTGCTCTCCCAACCTCCTCCCTCGATTGAGACGAGATCCCCACCTCCCTTCAGATTCTGCGTCGAAGATGGAGTCCAGATAGGAGCAAGTCCGTGGGGGAACGATTGGGTCAGGTGAGCGGAGGAGGAGGAGGAAGAGGAGGAGGAGGAGGAAGAGGAGGAGGAGGAGGAGGAGGAGGAGGAGGAGGAGGAGGAGGAGGAGAGTTGACCATGGAGGAGGCTCAACAAGCTGAGGAGGATCCGCGTGAAGCTCGTCGAGCGCTTCCAGACATACTCGAATTGCTTCTCCATGCTTGATGAAGATGGCGGAGGGTCGATCAACCGCAAGGTACGAGGCTCCTGCTCCCTGCTTCCTCCTCCCCCTCGACCTCAGTCCTGCTTCAGCTTGTCGTTGACTTGATCTGCTGCAGGAGCTGGCGATGGGACTCTTCAAGATGGGCGTCTGGCTGCATCCGAGGTCGTCTGCCCATCCCTCCTGCTCTCCTCCTGCTCTCCCCCTGCTCTCCTCCTGCTCTCCTCCTGCTCTCCTCCTGCTCTCCTCCTGCTCTCCTCCTGCTCTCCTCCTGCTCTCCTCCTGCTCTCCCCCTGCTTTCCCTCCGGGCTACTTGTGACACCTTCAGACAGCGAAGTGCAGGCGCTGATGGAGGCTCTAGACGAGGATGGAGGTGAAGGAGGGGAGGACGGAGAGGGGAGGAGACCAGGGGTGGGGGGGGGTTGGGGGGAGGTGATGAAGTGAGGGAAAAGGATGGGGGTAGGAGGGTGGTAGGCGAGAAGCGGAGGGGAGAGGACGGGTTGTCAGTGCTCATTTTAATCGCAGGAGGAGAGATAGAGCTTGAGGAGTTTGCGAGCTATTGGAACTCTTACGTCTTCGATGGCTGGTACTGCTTCTCTCCTCCCTATTGCACCCTGACACCATCTCCATCCTCTCTCCTTCTCCTATCGACCCCTCAGCCTGTCACTGCTCTTTTCCTGATCCGCTGGCAGGACCATTGAAGGGCTTCCCTACTGTCGCTACACACACAATCAGCACAACGCAGATTGACTTGTAGCTGAGGGCCGACTCTAGCCTAATACCGCGGCTATTTTTTCGAATACGTTGTTTAATGAAAATACTTGTTATGGCGACTGAATTTGTTTCAGCAACGATGGAGACTGTATCCGATGATGAGGAACTTCATGGAGCTTGCTATATGTCACATATACCCGGCATGTGGTCGAGATATTGGAAACTATCATCGACGAATGCATAAAACTCCGAAACCGATGGTTGGCAGGAGGATCACATTTTGAAATTTTCCTTTCAGAGAAATGCAATCATTGTCATGACAAAGCAAACTACTTTGGTTTGGAAGAAGGCCGCAAAGTGCATGAGACCCGAAAATGTTATTCCGGGAAATGCAAGCTATCCAAGCAGACATCGACAAATGTGTTTCAACCAAGGAATGGTGGTTTCGATTCATACATGCACACCTTCCACCAATCGTTATCATGGTGACCTGACATTGTTACAAGTTCACTGCACATTCTATACCGCAGACCTGAACTCAGAGACGGATCCGGTTGCAACTCCATCAAGAAAGGATTGCTTCAAGCAGGCTTGTTAGTACTCAAATCTTTACTCAACAAGTGTCCGCAGCTACCCCTTCTTTTGACCTATAAGGGGTGGGTACTTGGAAAGATATTTGTGGGGGATGTGATGATACGCAGCTGGACAGGTTTACCCCCTGATTGACTGCTAACCACCCCACCTTTACCCCCCGAGATGAGTTGCAATCTTGTGACCCATTCACCCTGCATGCACCACCCCCTTAGCCTGCCACCCCAGTAGCCCCACGGCCTTGCTGGACGCTCCAGGGAAGGGGTCATCGAATCTTGCAAAGGATAGACCTAGTGATCCCTTGTAAGTGGACGATGAAGGGGTGGGTGAGAAGGGAACCAGAAGGGTCGCCAAAGGGGTCAAAAGAGAGTCATATGGAGGGGTCAACAGAAGAACAATAGGGTGTAGGAGGCGAGAGAGGGGGGTGGGGTGAGGATCATGATCATTACAAGGGGGTAGGGTCATCATGCAGGGGTTCGACAGCAGCAGCGCAGTCATGCTCGACCACGTCCGATCCTCGTCCCTCGTGCTCTCGACCAGCTTGCTGGTTCCCCTGCTCCTCTTGTCCTTCTCTCCTCCCCTTGCCTCGTCTTCCCCCACAAGTGACGTTGATCGGCATGCTCTGGCAGCCCTCGAGTGGGAGATCCGCAGCATCAAGCAGAGCCTCTCCGCTACCCTCGAGGAGCTTCGAAGCCTCAACGCCTCTGTCGCCTCCTCGCCGCAGCTTCCCTGGGGTAACCTCACCTCCAGCGTAGTTCGCTGCTCCCTCCCCTACAACTGGTCTCAGATCGTCAACAAAGAGGACGAGGGAAGAGTTCAGATCGGAGGCCTGGGCCACCTCATGCAGATGGACAGGTTCTCTCCTCCTCTAGCGCATCAGCAGAGGCTGACATGCTTGCTGCCAGGTACGAGGTCTGGGTCTGCGACTACGACAACCGCTGTGTGCAGCAGGCAGGAGACGCCATGTGCTTCGTCTTCGACGAGGTGCAGGAAGTCTTCCTCCCGTGGGGTCTTGACTCGCAGCTCCTCCTCACGCAGGCAAACAGCTGCCTGAGCTCTGATCTCTCCTCGTGCGCTGACCCTCAGCCTCCTCCAGCAAGGACCCTTCCAGCCCGACCTGGCCCTCTCCAACATCCTCGCCCAGCTCAAGGCCCTCCAGCAGGAGATCCGCTCGGGGGGATGCGGGGGGTCGTGCGTGAGCCAGCAGCAAGTGCAGCAGCTGCTGGACCAGTACTACCTGGAGCCCGGCTACCTGTGGAGCGCCGGCAGCTTCAGCGAGTGCAGCAGCCTGTGCGGCAGCGGAGTGGCGAGGAGAAGCATCACGTGCATCTCGAAGCTCCTCGAGCAGGTCGAGGACGTTCGCTGCTCCAACCGCTCGAGGCCTCTGGCGGAGGTTCCCTGCCTCAACCTCTCCCAGTGCTCCTACGAGTGGGAGGTCGGCCCCTACAGCGAGTGTCTCACGGGCTGCGGCCAAGGCCTTCGCCGTCGCCCCGTCTCATGCCGGAGGAGCGACGGCGTCACCGTCGAGGCAGCCAAGTGTTTGGGATCAGCTCCCGTCGGGGAGGAGGTGCTGGAGGATGAGCGAGCGAGCTTGCGACTGACGGCATGCGCAGCCCTGCGCCAACTTCTCCTCCTGCTCCTACCGCTGGACCACCTCCGCCTGGGAAGCATGCTCCAGCACCTGCGGGGCTGGCTTGCAGTACCGGTCGGTGATGTGCGTGCGGTCGGACGGGGTGGAGGTGGGGGAGGGGATGTGCGAGGGGTCGAAGCCGAGGACCTTCCAAGCCTGCACGGGAGCGTCGGGCTGTAACTACACCCTGATCAACGAGTGCGCCGCTCACACCGACAACTGCGCGACCCACGCGAGCTGCATCGACACCTACTCGAGCTTCGAGTGCAGCTGCAAGCCAGGTAGCCCCTCCTTGCCTCGCCCCCACCCGCAGCGACGCTGACGCGAGAGGGTCAGGGTACGTGGGGTCCGGGACCGTGTGCGAGGACGAAGACGAGTGCGTGACGCAGACAGGCTTGTGCGATGCCGCGAGGACGTGCGTCAACACGGAGGGGAGCTTCGAGTGCTTGTGCAAGGAGGGTGAGGAAGAGAGAGGCTCGCGTCGCCATCGCTCTGACGTCCTCGTGCGGGGCCGCAGGCTTCTACCTGGACACGGCGTCGCCCTCGGGCTCCTGCGTCGCCTGTCCCGCGGGCCTCTACACCTCCGGGCTCGGGCAGACGTCTTGCAGCTCGTGCGCGCCCGGCTACTACGGGACGGCAGACAGCAGCTGCAGCGCGTGCCCTCCCGGGTCGTCGTCAGCGGCGGGAAGCCAGCGGGTGACGGACTGCCAGTGCGAGTACGGTGAGGGGGCGGGAGGCGCCTCCTCTCATGCGCAGGCGGCTGACGAGGCTTGTCCGCAGGCTTCTCCGGGACCATCTCGAGCGCTGCCGACCGCTGCTCGCCCATCTTCTCCAACGTCGAGGAGCAGTCGCGCTGGCTCAGGCTGGGAGCGTCGGGCATGTCATGCGCTCAGACCTGCGCGGCAGAAGGGAAGACGTGCGTGAGCTCGGCGATCAACCAGATCGACAACGAGGAGGCGATGCGATCGGCCGTGAGGGCGGCGAGCATCGCGTCCGATCGACGGATCCGAGGAGCGATGACGGAGCCGCAGCAGAGGCCGGGGGGCCTTCACTTGCGGGTAAGCGCGGGAGCTCACGAGCACGGAGGAGACGGACTGCAGGACCTGACGGCAAGCAGCGGGCACGTGAAGCGTCGACGATACGTAGAGCACGGGGCTACCAACTTTCCTCTTGTACCTCAGTCAGGTCCTAACGCAGGGCGAACTTGTTGTTACATCACTCAGAACTTCTATGTGGATATGCCGGTCGAGCTGCAGAGCTCGAGGATGATAACGGTCAGCGTAACCATCGAGGGCTTTGACAAGGCAAACGTAGTTCAACAAGCAAAAGTCGGATATGGAGGTATAGTATTTCCTTTCTCCACCACGACTCCTTTGAGTCAGCTCAACGGTAGGATTGATCTTCCTCCTCTGACAGCTGTCGGAAGTCAAGTCGGACCCATCGCCATCTACTATAGCAGCATCAGCTACAACGGGCGATCGACGTGGAGGATCTCAGTCGGGGAGATGAGGGACGAGAGCGAGGAGCCTCTGAGGGTCATGTCGGATGGCAAGCTCAAGTACGTCAACGGCTCCTTCCATGACGTCGTCTCCTTCCCCCCCATGAGCATCCCGGGCCCTGTCTTCACCCTCTGCTCCATCTCTCGCTACAACGGCGATAGGAGGAATAGAATCCTGCAAGGCAGAGACGACAATTTTGTGCATGGTCACTGGAGCGCAGGAGGAGGACAGGCCTACTATAGCGGCTCTTGGAGTCTCCAGCAGGACCTGAGCGCGACGGCAGACGCGTGGGTGGTGCTGTGCGGGCAGAACTACCAGGAGGGCAAGTTCTTCCTCAACGGCGTGGAGTATGATCGATCAGCTGGGAGCCTGCCGGACAGCCTTCAGCTCACCATCAACGAAATCGGCTGGCAACCTGACTACGGCTACTTCCTTGAGAGCTCGGACTGGGCGTTGAGCGAGGTAGCGATCTGGCGAGGAGCGTTGCGGGCAGATGAGATGAGAGCCGTGTCGAGTCACTTCATGCAGAAGCTGTCTGCTGGCAGCTCCGCCCCCTACAACCACACCCTCAACGTCTCCTGCGGCACATCTACCGCAGCCATCAATACAATGTCTCCCTACGTGTCAGACCTCGGCTGCTTCTTCCGCTCTCAGGTCTATCAGTCAACCTGCGACGCGAGCATGTTCGGAGCAAGCCGGGTGTGCGTGTGCTCGGCCCCGTGCCTGGAGAACTTCTACGGTAGCGACTGCTGCTGGCTTGTGCTCGCGCCTGACGCTCGAGACGCTCGCAGGTCAAGCCGACCAGTGCTTCCCATGTCCCTTCTACTCTCAGTCGCAGCCCGGCAGCTCCTCCATCCGCGACTGCTCCTGCGATCAAGGTAGCCCGCCTCAGCCGCCTCGGGCCTGCGAGGGGCGGGAGGACAAGGATCTGACGCTGCTTGCTGCTGCTCTAGGACTGTACCTCTACGTCAACTCCTCCGACGCTCCCTGGGGCCCCCAGGGCTCCTGCGACTCGTGCCCCGCCAACGCCTGGTCGCCTACCGGCAGCTCCTGGGTCAACCAGTGCCAGTGCATCGGCGGTAGGGCCTGAGCTTGCTCGTGCTGGCGCTGACGGGGAGCGGACGCGTAGGCTACTACCTGGATCAGGGGCCCTCCTGCTCCTCCTGCCCGTCAGGTCTCCTCTCGCCGTTCGCGAGCTCGTCGGTGGAGGACTGCATGTGCGAGGCAGGTGGGTGACGCTCGCGAGCTCGCCTCGTCGAGCCACATGTGGGTGTGACAAGGTGGATGCAGGGAGCTACGGGTCAGCTGGGAACTGCTCGTCTTGTCCTGCCTTCAGCTCGTCGCGAGCTGGAAGCAGGTCGATCGAAGACTGCTTCTGTCATGCAGGCTTCGGCGTGAGAGCGACGGGGTACAGCAGGCAGGTCACGTCCCCTCACGACCAGTGCGAGCTGATCGAGCAAGAGATATTCGTTGGCAGTCAGCCAGGAGCCTCATGCTCGGCTGTCTGCGGGTCGAGGAGCCTGGCGTGTCTAGACGAGGCTCAGCCCTTTATCACCCAACATTTCTTGTCTGCTCTTCTCTCTTCTTGGGGTGTCACTGTCTCCCAGATTGTCGTTACCAACAGCGCAGACGCTCCCTCCTACAACCCCGTCACAGGTCAAGCCTTCTACCGCAATGGCTTGCCCGGCACTTGTAGCGCCGCCAACGCCAACAACGTCCGAGTATGTCGATGCACGTGCGCCAACAACCAGTACGGTATGCTCCCTCCCGCCTCTCGTCCCTCCCGCTCTAGCGCTACCAGCAGCCCTCACACGTCCCGCAGGCAAGACAGGCAACTGCTCCTCGTGCCCCGCCCACAGCCAGTCCTCCTTCCAAGCTCAGGATCGGTCGAGCTGCATGTGCGACTCCGGTGACGCGGCTGGAGCCTGACGCTGCCGAGCTCTGACGGGCGTGTCTTGCTCCTGCAGGTTACTTCCTCAACGCCTCGCAGGGAGGCTGCAGCCCCTGCCCCAGCGGCACCTACGCGAGGAGGATGGAGTGGGTGGAGGGAGACTTCGGCACCAACGGCAGCATGGGCTGGAGGGGCGCGGACAAGACCTCGAGCTGCGGGGCATACGGCTCAGTGCTGGGAGGGCTCAACGTGCTGGGCGAGCACGCGAGCGTGAGCAAGACGTTCACGGGCTTGTGCGAGCATGGCCTCGTGTACGTCAAGATGCGACTGCTGCTCGTCGACCTGGTGCAGCCGGTGACGCTGCGTCTGTACGTGAACCGCCAGGAGGTCTGGAGCGAGACGGCGGGAGCCATGGCGTCCTGGCCGTCTGAGTGCGGGAAGAGCGACGGCGACGAGCTGATCGAGCGTGCGGTGCGAGTGTATCACACGGAAGACTACGTGGAGGCGATGATCCGAGTAGACTACGACTACTGGGAGGTGTCAGCTTCGAGCGCCAAGACGTTCTGGGGGCTCAAGGACTTCTCTCTCTCCATGCCATGCGCGAGCTCGACCTCAGCTGACTGCAGCATGACATCTCCGTCAGTGCAGTCATGCTCGGATGTCACGGGGAGCGGAGGCACATGCATGCAGGCAGGCGACTATCTCTACGTCTACTACACGAGTGGGCTGACGTGGTGGGACGCGGAGTCGAGGTGCAATGGGATAGGAAGAGAAGGACATCTGGCGTACTTTCCGGATAGTCGGACATACCTTGATGTGACATCTCGTCTCGGTGTCGGTGCGTCTAACCCGTGGATCGGACTTCGAAGTCCAGCAGCATCAGCGTTTGACTACCGTTGGGTCATCGGAGGATCTCCGAGCTTCTGGGGAGTCAATGGTGTACCACCTTCCGGGTACAGTCAGTATGAGTATGGTGTGTTTGTGGGAAGCCAGGGGGAATGGGGGAATTACCAGACGAGTAACAGAAATCGCTATCTATGCAGCTATCCAATCCAAATATGAGCTGTCATAGCAGGGTCCTAGCGCCTAGTGCGATATTCAATCACATCGATCTTGGGCTCGGCTGTTCTAATAGCAGCTGCTTGTATTGGGTGACTCAAGTACTGAAGCATCTTGTTCTCATGAGAGAGAATATAGTGCAATTAGTTGGCATTCAGCAGTTAGGTGCAAACTGTTGATTAATCTGCGAAAGCAAATATCGCTCCAGCTCTACCACCTCATGTCTAACAAACGCCTGTCCTCTCTTTGCTTCCTCTGAGTCCCCGCGAGCTTGATCGCCAAAGTCTGTCTGACCTCTCCCCCTTGTTCAACTGCTTCCTTCACTTCCTTCATCCCTATCGCCAGCGTCTTCCCCCTGCTGCCTCCTGCTCGTCTCCCTCTCGTCCCGCCACCAAGGTGCTCCCGCCTGATCTTCGGGTCAAGGCGACAAGACCCCTCGCCTCCTCGCACCTCGAACGATAAACTCTCCTCCCCCTCTATCGTCACCCGATGCGCCTGTTACTCTTCTCAGCTCCTCCCCCTCCCCGCGCCTTCTCGTCTTGCCTGCAGGAAGATCACGTCGGGGTCAGGCCCAAACACGCGGCTGCCGTCTCCAATCGCATCGTCGACGCTCTGCTCAGAGATCAGCCTTGACGCGACGAGAGGAGAAGCCGCGAGGAGGCGGATAGAAGCGAGGCAGCAGAGCAAGACAGACACGAGTGAGAGGAGGAGCAGGGAGACAGCAGGCGGACTAGACCTGAAACAAAAGCCCAGCTGCTGGCGTGTACCGCGTGTCTCCGAGCACGGGAGCTCCTAGAGCCGCAAACTGCAGGCGAATCTGCGACGTCCTCCCTGTCATGACCCTGCTGCTCTCCACATCTCCTGACCTGGTGTGTCCTCCCTGTGATGAGCCGGACGGAGTACTCGAAGACCTGCATGCTTGTTCATCTGCGAGACAGCGAGGAGACAGACAACCTTTCTGCGTCCTCCCTGCTGCTTGAGATCAAACGGCTGCAGAAAGGTAAGCAGACACTGACCCCATCAGCATCAGGGTTGTTGTCGTCATCACCACCAGCCGGATCATTGTCATCATCAGTACAAACTACAAGATAATGACAACAACACGATATCACATCGTCAAGATCATCATCATCTTGATCCATCATCGCAATCTTCCTCCTCCTCTGAGTGTCTGAGCTCAGCGGCTTACCCGGCAGTCCAGAATCTCTAGCACGGCATCTTGCCAGCCTGACGGAGACTATCAAAGCGAGCTACAAGACCCAGGCAAGCGATGAGAGGAGAAGACGAGCTCCGAGATCTCTCTAGTAGACGAGCCGCCAGCCTTACCCTCCTCCTGCAGGTCTTGCCTGCTCCTCAAGTCCTGCCATGCTCGGAGAAGCGTGGGACGAGAGTTCTTGTGTCCGCTCCTCTTCCTGCCGTACCCCCCCGGTGAGGAGAAGCAGCAAGGAGGAGGCGAAGACGGGGATGCGGCTTCAGGATGATCACCGACAGAAAAGATGACGCACTTCTCCTCTCGGCAACTCTCTCTCGCTCAGCAGCAGGTAGACCTTGTCACACCTGCCAGGAAGCAAGTGAGCGAGACGACGAGGATGGCCCGCCTCAGCTCTTGTCCTCACAGGCCGTCGGGTGCTCTACCATCTTATCTCTCTGTCATGCTCCTCCTAGCGTCCTCCTCCTCCACAGCGCCCGTCCTTACCGCCTCTCACTCATCGCCTTGTTGGTCTTCAAGCAGAAGTCTCTTGTCTTGGCGAAGATCAACACTCCAGCTGTGCAGACGTCGAGGCGGCTGGTTGGCATCAGGCTGATATTTCTCATCTGCCGTACACCCTCATCGCTACTCCTCTCCTCGCCCCTCAGACCTTCTCCACTTGTGACATCACACACTCCACGCCGTTGTCGATGGTTGTCAAACTTGGCACCCTGTCACATCGAGACTTGAACGTCATCCCCGGCACGTGGGAAGCGCTGGATGCCGAGCTGGACTCACCCTGGGGGCTTGTCAATGACGATGAAGTCTTGGCTCTCGCGGATAACTCTCGCGCTCCAGTCAATCTGAGTCATGCTGTGAGAGTCGATCACACTTGTGGGCGTCAGGCGAAGCTAGCTCAGTCGTCATTTTGTTCTTCTTCTCTGCGTTGTGGATCCTATCACCACCTCCTCCTCATTGTTGCTTCTTCTCCTTCTCCTTCTCGATCATGATCGTCATCATCTTAGCTGTTCTTGTGCGCTACCTTGTAGACAGACAGACATCTTTTTGGTTGGGCGTGCACTCTGACATAAGACCCAGGAAGCAGCTCCACATCCTGCATGGTTCGAACAGCTTTGACCGGTGACTGCTTCTTGTCCATGGCATCTTGCGGAGGACCGGTGTAGACAGCTCCAAACTTGACGAGCTCTTTCACAAGTTTTCCGTCCATGCCTGTTTCCTCCATGATGACCTTGTTGCTGCTCTTAGCCCATAGCATGTCAGAGACATCAAACTTACCTCTGACAGCTTCTTCTTGGAGGATTCGCTCCTTATGTGTATGATGAATGGCGGGAGACTGTCGGGGGGGTCAGGTGGGAAGAGCGATTTGATCCTCAATGGCTCAGTGCTGCTGGATATGGAGCATGAAACCAGCGACTTGACACCCATCTTCCCCTTCAAGCCTGGCGGGTCGTAGCAGTGGGTGCTCGTTGCGGAGAGACCAGCATGGTTCCCGAGAATGCAGGCGGTAAGAAAGAGGAGCATGGAAAGGGATGGGTGAGGAGCTAGGAGAAGCTGGCAGGAGGTAGGGTCAGCTGCCCTGATCTTGATTGCTGGCACGCATGCTCGTGTCTGAGGTACAGCTCTGCTCTGTCTCCTCTCTCTTCACCTCCTCATTCCCCTCCCTCTCATCGTCTCGCGCCAGTGACAGCACACCATGTCGGGGCGGATCTCGACCATCTCGACACTGATCTCAACCAGGATCTCGACAGGGAATGTTAACGGAGGGCTGAATGAGGGGCAACAGGCCATTATTTGAGTAAAGATTCTAGTAATCGGCCCCGGGTCGGAGTCACGGTAGGCCCGAGGAACTCAAAAGGGGAGGGAGGGGTGGTATCAATATGGCGGCTCCAGGGTACCAGGGAGAGGGGGTAGAGGTTCAACGGCTGTGGGCTGCCGACCAATCATTAGAGCAGGAGCAGGAGCAGGAGCAGGAGCAGGAGCACGAGCAGGAGCACGAGCAGGAGCACGAGCAGGAGCACGAGCAGGAGCAGGAGCACGAGCAGGAGCACGAGCAGGAGCACGAGCAGGAGCAGGAGCAGGAGCAGGAGCAGGAGCACGAGCAGGAGCACGAGCACGAGCACGAGCACGAGCACGAGCACGAGCACGAGCACGAGCACGAGCACGAGCAGGAGCAGGAGCAGGAGCAGGAGCAGGAGCAGGAGCAGGAGCAAGATCACGGTAGTTTGTGTCTGGGAGTGTCAGGCATCCAGGTGGGATCACCGTCAGCTTCGCTAGATGGCGACGTCAGAAAATGATGCCGAAGAAGAGCAGAACACGGAAGAAACATGTGCCTTAACTATCCAACGAGTGGTGCGAGGCAGAGCTGGAAGGGTTAGGGCTCGGGCGAGGAGAGAGGAAGAAAGGCTTTACGGAATCAAAAGCACAGGATGGAGCTTCGACAGAATGCAGAGCATACTTTCCAGCAGCATGCAGGTAGACTCTCCTCCTCCCTTGAACCCTCCAAGAAGCTCGGTCGAGGTGAGCGAGATGCTGTCCAAGACTGTCCTCGTGGACTATGAGGGCGAGAAAGACGACGAGGGACGCATGTCAGGCAACGGCAAGGCGTCGTTGCATCAGGGGTTGTCGTACGAGGGGGAGTGGAAGCAGGGACTGATGCACGGGAGTGGGAGCCTGCAGTGGAAGGATGGAACCACGTACAGAGGACCGTTCGACCACGCGAAGCTGGTGGGGAAGGGGCAGCTGCGATGGCCGGGGGGCCACGCGTATGACGGAGAGATGCTGGACGGGTACAGGCACGGCAAGGGGAAGCTTGTCATGACCGACGCCAACGAGCTGGATGAGAGCGCGGTGACCACGTATGATGGGGAGTGGAGGTACGGCAAGCGGCACGGGCATGGTGTGCTGTCCTACGACAGCGACGGCAAGCAGAGGTACGACGGTGAGTGGAGGAATAACCTGCGACATGGACGGGGGACCATGTTGTACAAGTCCGGCAACCAGTATACAGGTAGGAGGCAGAGGCTCAAGGGGGGCAGCTGAAGCCCTGTAGGCTACTGGAAGGACGGGTACCCGCACGGGCGCGGGCAGATGATCTGGAACTCAAACGAGATCTACACGGGGGAATGGGAGGACGGGAAGCAGCATGGGCAGGTAGGGCGACGAGCAGCGAGCAAGGGGTCTGACATGGCGCAGGGGGAGCACATCTGGATCATGGAGGGAACGAACAGCATCAACTTCCAGACGTTCAACCGATACGTGGGTCAATTCGAGAAGGGGAAGCGACACGGGCAAGGACGATTTGAATACGCAGATGGAACCGTCTATGAGGGAGGATGGAACGAGAACCACAAGGTACGCAGAATCTCTCTTGCAGCTTTCGGACTATCATTTCATTCTTGTGTGCCTATCAGGATGGCTTCGGCAAGTACTTGTATCCTGATGGAAGAACGTACGCGGGCAGTGTAGCCCAAGACAAGCTGCCGGACAAGAAGATCAAGGTGACTTGTGATACCAGCAGACGAGCTTGACGGTCCCGTCCAGAGCACCTCTCATGACTTCATCCTCTACATCTCCGACCTTCTCGAGGATGACGTGAGTGTGTTGGTGACTTGCTTCCTTGGTGTGATGGAGATCGTAGAGCAACCCTGAGCTCGAGCTGAGAAAGATCAAGAATCTGTTTGTGAAGCACGCGACGGAGCTGAAGCAGATTTTCCGCTCCTACTCGCAGATAGAAGAAGCCAAGGTTGGACCCTGCCATGTCTTCGCTCTCTCATTTCGTCATGGCAGCCCTTGGGAAGCTTTAAAACCACATCTCAAGGAAGCAGCTCGAGCATCGCGACGAAGATGACCAACAGCAAGGAGGTGAGGGAGATGGAACGAGAACGTGTTGCTGCGCTGACACAATGAAGCAGCAAGAGGTGGAGAACTCGTTTGCGATGAAGATGATCGACTTTTGGAAGTTTGCCAAAGACTGTCGACTGCCAGACAACAAGTAGGGGAGGCCGTGGAGCGAGTCGCGAGGTCTGACGATGCTGCAGGTTGAACTTGGCAGAGATCGATCGCATCTTTATGCAGATCGACCCGACGGCCGGCAGCACTATCGGAGAGGCGAATCGCAAGAGGAAGATGATCTACCGTCAGTTCCAAGAGGCTCTCGTCCGCCTCGCCAACTTCAAGATCCCGCATGCTCTGCGAGTGAGCGACCGACTCGCCCAGCTGCTGACCCACTACATCCTTCCCTTGGCCGGCAGGGAGAGCAAGGATGACCTTCCGTACGTCTTGTGCGGCTTGTCGGCAGGATCGCTGACATGTTGACGTCAGCAAGAAGTTGGACGACCCTGTCTGCAAGGTAGTGACCAAGGCCTTCGAGCCCCGCATGAGGAAGCGATTCCAAGAGGAGAGCAAGGCGAGGGGCCGAGACTTCCTCTACCTTTGCGAGGTGCTCGAGCTCTGGCTCAAGGACAACGTGATTGTTAGCAGCAGCGAGTTTCCTGAGGTCCCTCCTGCCGTTGCTCGCCCCCCCTGACTCCCTTCAAGGTTGTCCGCCTCTACCACAGCTCCCTCTACGACAGCTACGAGCAGGTAGAGGGCAACAAGCGCAACCTTGACGCCTGTCTGACCTACGACGAGTACGCTGAGCTTCTCTTCCGGTCTCTCCTGCTCGCTCAGAGCTCCTCCCTGACTTGCAACTACAGGCTGGCAGATCACCATACTGGATACCCAAACAAGATCAACTTCCCAGAGGTGCCTCCTCCTCCTCCTCCTCCTCCTCCTCCCCTGTACGGCACTCGCACTGTCCCATTCCACTCTCCTCCTTTGCATCTCCTGCCGTGCTGACATCGCTTTCTTCCCCTTCTTCCCCAGCTCACCCTTCTGTCCTCTTGCGCGATTGACCTTCTTATACCTCAGACTCTGGAGAATTTTCTCCTCCGATTTATGCCGGACGTGCATGTCTCGAAGGAGCTCAAGGCGGCTGCATTTCGCCCTCCTCCGCAGAGCTTCTCGCGAGGAAGTTTCTCACGTGCACCCAGCGGGATGTCTCGGTCGAGCTCTAGAGCTTCTTTCAGCTTCTCACGCGTCAGTTCAGCTGGCAACCTGGTGGCAGGGCTGGCGAGACGTTCGATGAGCATCAAACGAGTTCCGTCGAAATGAAGAGAGAAGAAAACTCGATCAAAACATTGTGTTGCTGCTTCTCCTCCAAATATCCTCCCTGAACTGCTGAACACCCTCCCTCCCTTCTCACACTCTTCATATTTCAGTCCCTCAAAACTCTCCTCCTCATGTGGTATCGCTCATCCCGTCAAGATTGCAATTCTTCATGTGCTGCTCAAAAAAACAATATGTTGCAACTCATTCCCGGCTTGTCATATCAGATGGCTCTCACGCATGGACCTGAGCCTATGTCCGCCCCTTGGCCTGCAGACCCTTAGCACCTCCGCCACGTCATCACTCAGGTCTACCTTAGCGCCAGGATGCGAGTACTGTTTGATCTCCTGGAACACAAGGTCCCGGATATTTGCGTCGCTGAGGTTATCTTTCTTCTCATACTCAAAGTCGAACTCCTGTGCATCGTCAGCCCTCGTGCCGCTTCCTCCTCCTCTTCCTCTTCCTCCTCCTCCTCCTCCTCCTCCTCTTCCTCCTCCACACCAACCTGGTCGCATTCGGGCTCGTCGGTAGGATCGTGCAGTTCTGCCATGTAAGGATGTGACAATGCCTGCAGTTACATCAACATGCAAAACAAAAAGATCGATTAGCAGGGGCAGAGGAGGAAGAGGAGGAGGAGGAGGAGAAGGGGGAGGAGAAGGAGGAGGAGGGAGGAGGAGGATTCTACAGCAGAAGGAAATGCAACCTGTGCTGCTGTCAGCCGTTTTCTCGGGTTAAATTGGAGGAGACTGTCGAGGAGGTCGAGAGCTTGAGAGGAGGCGTTAGGGAACTCGTGCTTCCATCCCGGTGGAGTTTCCTTGGGAAAACCTGCACCATGAATTTCATCACCTCATCACTAAGTAGGGAAGCGAGGACAGAAGGGTTGGAGAGAAGGGGGAGGGGGAGTGAATGAAGAACAGATCCTGGGAGCAGGATGGAGGAGGTGAATAGAACTACAAAAGAGCTGAAGCATGCAGGAAGATGAGAATGACCTGCAAGAAAATTCTTCGCCTTCTCAGAGACGTGTTGCTGATCCTCAATGGGGGGATTTCCTATCTTAGCGATCTGCCGTTTGAGCATGTCCACGTAGTCTCTTCCGGGAAACAGAGCCTTTCGTCCGAGCAGCTCTGCTAGGATGCACCCAACAGCCCACATGTCGATGGACTTGTCGTAATCTCGCTTCCCCAGCAGGAGCTCAGGGGCGCGGTACCATCGGGTGACCACATAGACTGTCATGGAGAAGGAGTTTTCCAGCTCGGCAGAGAGGCGTGCGAGGCCGAGGTCGCAGATCTTGAGATCGCAGTTGGCGTTGACAAGGAGGTTGTTCGGCTTCAGGTCGCGATGCATCACGTTGGCAGAGTGAATGAACTTGAGCCCTCGCACGATCTGGTAGACGAAGTATCGTACATGATCATCCGACAGGGGCTGGGAGGACCGGATGATCTTGTGCAGGTCAGTATCCATCAGGTCGGTGACTATGAAGATGTCCTTGAACTTGCTCTTGCCTTCCGGTCTCTCGATGATGTCCTTGATGCAGATTATGTTCTCGTGGCCGCGGAAGTGGCGCAAAAGTTTCAGTTCTCGCAGCAGCAGCTTCCCCTGGTCCTTGTCCTCCACGGCATCCTTGATCTTCTTGATGGCAACTTTGGTGTTGGTGGCCTTGTGTCTTGCTGCTGCTACCACGCCGTACGCTCCCTCTCCCAGCTGCTTCGTTACCTCGTACTCGTCATCCAGCCCCCCGAAATGAACCCGCAAGCTCTGTGAGTTATCCTTCTTGGTAGCCATCTCCCCCAACTACCTCCTGCACGAAGCACAAGAGTGAGTGAAGTGGAACGAAGATGCTGGTTGGTATGTAGAGCGATACTACTGCTTTGAAATAAAATCTTCTTTGTGGGAACTAGAATACTCTACCCGCGTGCTATCAAACTTTCCAACTGTCTCAATCTTCCTTAGCGTGGATCAGTGTCTTCCTCACCAACAAGTTCCCTGCCATCTCTCCTCATTCTCCTCCCTATTAGTCGTTCCTTCCCTCATACAGGACACTGATAACCTGGGTGACTTGCTGCAAACTGATACTCTCCTCTTCTGTTATCCTCGCAATATTAAGATCAACCAACATTCTTATCATGACATACAAGAAACATGGGACATCCCTGTGCGTCTTAGCGTACCATTCCCTCGGCTCCTCTGCAAGTTTCATACATCCGTCCAGTCAGATAACCACGAGAACCTAACTCTCTCTCATGCCAGTCTCAACCTCGACTCAGAAACGTTCACATGGTCCTCAGCAAGAGGGATAATCTTCTCAACATTGTCTTCCTCTCCGTCTATCTCCTTCCTCCCCTCCTCTCTTGCCTTCCTAGGGGTCATACATGCCATTTCGACCATTCTCCCCATACCACTATCACCCCACCCCCCTACTATCTCTATTTATACCCCACCACCATCCAACGAGCGTCTAACACCCTACCCTACCTACACACAAGGAGTGTCCATTTCTCACCACCCCTTCAATTAGTACCCCACCCTAATGTCCAAGGAACAAATCCCTTTTTGTTTCGCTACCCCTGAAGTCATTGACATGTCTATTCTTCTACCCCACCCCTTCGATACATCGTTCCCAAGTACCCCAACCTGGTTGTTAAAGTAAACAGGGGTACTCAGTGACTGGTAACACTTTACTCAAAGTTAAGTTAAAAATCAGTACGAGGACAATCAGGAGAGTCGAGGAGGCTTGACCCTGACACTGTCGCACAGGCCAAACGGCGAGAAGGGAAAAGACAGCGAGAACCAAACCTAATCCTGCCGACTGCTGTCCCCCAAACTTAACTAATACCTTCACTCTGGTAACACTCAGAGTGACCTTGAATGAGGGGTGGTTGGAGGTACAGGCTATCTCAATTGGGTGGGTAGTCATGTGAGGGGTACGATGATGCCATATTTCATCTCTTCATGGGGGGTCTTTGGGGGACCCTACGGGTCAAATGGTCTTATATGGGGTGGGGTCCTCTACGATCCTCTGACAAAAGAAAAAGATTTGTTTTACAGTCAATTTATTCTTTTGTTTTGCTTTTTTTTCTTGCCACGCCGATTCAAACTATGGCACCAAGATGGCAAGAAGAGCGAGAGGAGGAGGAGGAGGAGGAGGAGGAGGAGGAGGAGGAGGAGGAGGAGGAGGAGGAGGAGATCAACCTTCTATCTTTCCTCCCTTCTCGAACATATCAGGCTGGGGGAAACACATCATCATCAGAAGACGAGAGCGCTGAAGATGAGCGCGAAGATGGAGGATTGTATGAGAAGCCTGATGAAGCTGATTTCGAAGTCAGAGATTGTGAAGGTGAAAACCAGCTTGCAGATCATCCCTGCAGCAACGAGCTTGCAAGATCATGCGGAGATCGAAACGCAGATGGTGGTGAATTCATTGAAAGTATGAGTAGACTGAGCCTCAGCTACAAGCCGGACAGCAGTGGCGAACTCTGTGACTCAGGGAGGTCGCCATTGGGCCAGAAACAGGTCCAACCCTCAATGTCATCGAGGAACGACGTTGATCAAGGAACTGACGACAATTATGATGATGAACATGAAAGCCCTTCTGCCCGTCAGGAGTTGAACCCCAGGTTCAAGCTGGGAGACGAAAACAGGGACCCGAACTCGCCTTGCCAGCAGGAAGAGAAGGAGGAGAACAAACCTTGCAAAGCAGTTCGAACAGCGTACAACGACCTCATCAAAGAGGCTCAGAGCTGTGAGAGGGAAGGAGACCTGAGAAACGCTCTCTCGTTCTACCAGCAAGCGTTCTCTCTGTGGGATATGGACAGTAAGCTTCGAAAGAAGATCACCAAGATTCAGAACCTACTGGAAGTGAGGAGACAGAGCAGGAGGCAGAGCAAGGCCGCCATCAGAGAGGGGCTGGGAGTCACAGCACAGCAGGGTTGGCGCTATGACGGAGAGGACGAAAGGTACGAGCTGGAGGGGTCCGAGCCCTTCTCGCTCAGCAAGCAGTCGTACGAGAGGCTGCTGCCTTACCAGCGCGAGGGCGTCGCATGGCTGTGGGAGCTGCACCAGAGAGGAGCAGGAGGGATCCTAGGGGACGAGATGGGGCTGGGGAAGACCTGTCAGACCATCACCTTCCTAGGAGGCTGCTTTGAAGGGCAGCAGGTCTCTCACGTTCTGATCGTCTGCCCTGTCTCTGTGCTGTCCGTGTGGGAGGGAGAGTTCCGCAAGTTCTGCAAGGACGTGAGTCCCCTCCTCTTCCACGGCGCCAACACGAGGGAGAGGGACGACAATCTCAAGTCCGTGTACAAGAGAGGGGGCGTCCTTCTCACCTCCTACGGCCTGGCCTCCTCGCAAGCGGAGAAGCTGGCGAGGGTGAATTGGGACTACGTGGTTTGCGACGAGGGGCACAAGCTGAAAAATCCGTCGATCCAGACTTCGAAGAAGCTCAGGACAATCCCAGCTGACCATCGCCTGCTCCTCACTGGGACCCCCGTCCAGAACAACCTCGACGAGCTTTGGGCCCTGCTGGACTTTGCGGTCCCTGGCCTCCTCCCCCCCCAGCAGGAGTTCAAGGCTCACTATTCCCGTCCTATCGCAGACGGACATGACAAGTCTGCGGCAGCATCCGAGAAGCAGCTGGGGGAGAGGAGGGCGAGGGAGTTGCGGGACATCTTCATGCCGTATCAGCTGGCGAGGACCAAGGCCGACGTCTTCAACAAAGACAAGAAGGTGGGAGGGGAAGAGGAGAGGCCTGAGGAGCAGGGAGGAGCTCGGATCCAGGTCGGGCTGGAGGTGTCAAAGAAGGAGTGGATCGTGTGGCTCGAGCCCACGTCCTTCCAGAAGCATGTCTACCGCCAGTTCCTCGATTCCGACGTGGTCCATGCAGCCCTCAGCAGCTCGCGCTCTCCCCTGGCAGCTCTGACGGTCCTCAAGAAGATTTGCGATCATCCTTACCTCCTGCAGAAGGCTACCGAAGTGAGCTCCCTTGAGGCCCTGCGGGAGGCAGACGAGGAGCAGGAGGCTGAGACTCTGGAGGAGGATACATTCTCTGTACGCAGGATGCTGGAGACGTGGAAGAAGCAGGAGCACGTCATCACACAGGACGCTCTCCCTGCGTCCGCGGCCAAGGAGCTGATCGGGGCTGCTGTAGCCTCCAGCAAGATGCTGTTTGTGCTCCACCTGCTGCAGGAGCTCGAGAGGGGAGGGCACAAGACGCTGGTCTTCAGCCAGTCGTCGAGGATGCTCCGGCTGCTGCGGTCCTGCACGGACACGCTCAAGATCAGCTCGCTCTTTCTCGACGGGCAGGTGAACAAGCTGGCGGACAGGGAGAGGATCGTCAAGAAGTTCAACAGCAAGGAGTCTGTCAAGGTCCTCTTCCTCACGACTGGGGTAGGAGGGGTGGGCCTGACCCTGACGGGAGCGGACCGGGTCATCATCTACGATCCCTCCTGGAATCCTGCGACTGACGCGCAGGCGGTCGATCGCGCCTACAGAGTCGGGCAGACGCGTCCTGTGCTGGTGCGACCACTTGGATACTCCTCCTCCCTCTCTTCCTTCTTCCTCTCTTCCTCCTCCCCCTCTTCCTCCTCCCTCTCTCCCTCTTCCTTGTCTTTCTCCGCCCTCTGTTCCTTCCTCTTCTTGCTCTGCTCCTCCTGCTCCTGCTCCTGCTCCTGCTCCTGCTCATCCTTGTCATCTCCTTCTCCTCGCCTTTCTTCTCCTTCCCCCATATCAGGGTACTTTTGTCAAAGTTATTGAGTACGGGGTCACACGTCTGTTGGTTGTCTAATTGAGGGGTGGGTGACCATTCACAAGGTTCTCAATCAGTAAAAGAATGACGGCATCGGGATGGCCAGGGGGGCGATGGTGAAAGCGCAGAGGGGGAGAAGTGCGA